AGCAACGCGATGGCTAATCTGTTTTCTCGCGCAGCCTCATTAAAATTCCGTTACGCGTATAACGCCTGAGGAAGTTCAGTTTAATTAGCAGAACGATACGCCATTATTAGGGCAATGCCACGTGTGTGAATTACGTTTTAATGAACGTCGAAAAATTCCTTCAAAATATTTTTCTCGTCATCTATATATTTTTCATTTGACGATTTTCTCTCGCGTCTAAAAAAAAAGTCGTGCCTTATCGTGATGTGACGTTTTAATCGGATAACGTAACTCGTCGAGTTCTTCCACGTCGCGATAACACATTTTCCGACAAGTATTATCGCATAACATGAACGCCTACGCTTCGATGTGCTGTCAGTGCATTTGCCTTGGAATTACGAAAAGTGCATATAAATAGAAAATAAAAAAAATTAAAAAAATTTGCTACCACAAAATTTTTTGATTTTCGAAATGTATTCTAACATTAAAATAAATATCATAAAGAGATTTAGAATTTAATGTTAATTATGGAATATAATATAAGTGAATTTTGGATAGTTTATTAATATTTTATTAATATATGAATAATGAATTATTAAAATAAATTAAAATTAATTTAAATTATAAACTATTTTTTATATTCTCTGTAAATATTAATTTTATTCATTACATTTTTGTTACATTCACTATATGTGTTGAGAGGTACATATTATATGAATGATATACAACAAGAGGATAATCAAATTTTGTACAATTCTTATATTTGATATGAGATTATATTATACTAGAAATTTATCAATATTTTCATTTATCATATATTTTTCTATCTCACAAGTAGTAGAAGAAAAACATATTTTTGTTGATTTTACGCGAGTTTGGTGCTGGTGGAAATATTTATCGCCGCGCTGATCGACGAGAAGGTTCGCGTGTACTGTTCGTTTTTACGGTATAAATTCTGTTAAACACGCGTTCTTTTTTCACAGTTTCTAAAAATGCGCATCTAAATATTTTTCTGTTCGTTGGACAGAAACCGTTTGATTTCATTTCGGTGCGATCGCGACCGGATATTTGCGGCCGCATTATTTATCTGTCTCAGAAAAACGACGTCCCGCGAAGACAGCATCGATGTTGTCGTCGAAATCGGCTGCTGTCTTCGTTGTCGCGAGCGAGGTTCGACCTGGCGTGCGCGGGTTTCGCAAAGGCACCTTCTAGAAATAGAACGCCCAAATAATTTGCCTCGAATTACCAGCGACATGCGCCGGTGTTCTCTCCTCTTCTCTTCCTAGTCAGCGACTAATCCTGTGAGCGAATTTTTTTAATCTTTAAAACGAAGCTACTCTACAAACATGAATAATCTAAATTACTTTACTGAATTTAATAGTCTTATTTAATTTCACACAAGAAATATTTATTTAATTCATGTATTCATTTATTCTCAATTTTTGTTTAAAATATCGAAACAAATTGTCATTTTATTTACTATAACTTTTAAAAATTTTTGATATTATAAACTTTTTTTGATATTATAAGCTAACAAGAATTTCGAATAAAATTAGGGAAATTAAATCAAAATCAAACGAAAATTAATGTTCGCATTTTTATCATGTAGATGTTTATTGTTCAAGGAAAAATTATGAATCAGGAATGTCGACAACAATATGCGCATATTTTATGTTAAACATTCTGTAAATGCATGTGTTTCTGCTAGAAGAAAATACGTAATTTAAAATTAAAAATCCGCGGAATTAAAGGGCTGTGAGCTTATCGCGACTGCACTGAACGGTTTTATCTGTGCAATCGATGCTTCGAACTTGGCCTTCTTCGTAGCACATACATACCATGCGGTACGTTTATTTTACGAGGCCGCAAATACGGTCGGCATCCAACCGCCCTCGGCTTTCTTAGAAAGGAGAGAAATATGAGTCTAGTGGTGTCAAAGACGCCCTGCATGGGTTTTTCGCCGAGAGGCGAGCCCTGATTCGATTTCTACTTTACATTTCGGAATACACACTTGAATCCTTGAATCGCGATATCGCAATAACTCGACGCATCTTTTCCCAAAATAATTCGCGAACGCGTTAAAATTCGCAGAACAATCTAAACATGTAGCATGAATCCGAAGGAATCCGAGAAACCTGCCATCCTTGAAAGATTCAAATTATAAGATTTTTTGAGAATGAGAGATTTTTCTTTTAGAAATATATTTCACGAAAAATTTAAAAACTCTTGTTTCCCTCTTTTAACGAAACGATCAATCAAATGCATATAAAAATCATTGTTTATACAATAATGAGAAAAATAATCTCTTTATTCTTTATATTTAATATAATTATATATTACATATATAATTATATTAAATATAAAAAAATAATTTTTTTATAATTATATTAAAAATCTATATCTATTGTTGCAATAATTATAATTAAAAGTATCATTGGAAAGTGATCTTTGGAGAGGGAGATAAAATACAATAATTCGAGCTCTCAAATTACAAAGAGTAAAGAAAATAATGTGAAAAATATTTTTATCAACAAATATTTTAAAAATTGAAATTGTCTACATAAATATACAACAAAATCAAATATCTGACAGATGCGGGCGAACTGCAAAATCTGCGATAATTGTCGTCCCTCGACATTGGCATTCGCTGAAAATGCATCTTAATAATAGAACTTATGGCTATATAATGCTACATAATCGCTTGAAAAAAAGATGCAGGAAAAAATTGCGGAATGCCCCACGTCTCTACATGTTCGCCAAAAGCTTCTCGTGTTACAACGCCGACCATCGCCAAAACACGTCAGAGGCGGTGGTGGCGATGGCGAGCTCAGCGTTTCGCACGTAGTTGGCAACGATTTCTGTCGATGCGCGTGAAATAATTTAGCATTTGCCGTCACGTTACATAACGCTCTTTCTAGATCATAATATCAAAACACTCTTAACCGAATCTCACGGTCGCGAAAAGTAGGAGGAAAAGGGGAAAGTTCGCGTAAATTTTCGCTCTAAATAGGATTTCCTTCTTTTACATAATTTAAATCTTTTTATTAAAAAGAGATTTAAATTAAATATTTTGTTTATGAGATCATAGTATTAATCATATTTGAAAAATAATTAAAAAAACATTTGTATACATGAGAGAAAGAGAAGAAAGAGAGAAAGAAAGGTTGGGGGAGAGAAGGAGAGAGAAAGAGAAAAGATTTGTAAATTTATGTTTGCGCACATACATTAATAAAAATAATTAGCATGTTTTAACAAGGAGTTATTTATTAATTATGGAATTTATCGGTTTCAAGTTTATTTGAAATTTCAAAAAATTCAAAAATTATAAAATTTTAAATAAGATATATTTGAATTTTGTATTAAGAAAAATTAAAAATAGAATATAATTAATTGTATTTTTATTTTGATTTAATTGATTTTTAATTGTTACTTAATATATATTTTGTCGCATAAAATAAAAAGCGATTGTTAATTTTCATAGTTATATTAAATTAGATATTTTAAATCGCATATTGTGAACGAGAAGCTCGCGTTTCGGAGTATCAACATATGTCTGCCTGTCGAGTGTCAACTTTAGTCTCTGATACAGATTTTATTTCCGAGGACGAGTCGCTCGAGATGTCGTTTGCTTTTCACTTTCGTCTCGCTTTTGCTCTCGGAGTTCATTATCATTATCTGCTTCCGTGTACTGGAAATTCACGAACTCGAATTTTCATTTATACAATGTAGACGGCAAATTTATATCGACAGTTTAAATTTTCAGTAAAATTTGGAACAATATAAAAAATTTGATAAATAATATATATATATATATATATATATATATATATATATATATATAGAGAGAGAGAGAGAGAGAGAATAAAGAAAATATCACATTTTATTGTATTTTTATAGATAATCCAAATTGAATTATGATACATATATATATATATATATATATATATATATATATATATCATAATTCAATTTGGATTATCTATAAAAATACAATAAAATGTGATATTTTCTTTATTTATAATAAAAATTTATAGCAACAAAAATGTCAACAGCGATGAGAAAAGAGAAATTATTGAATAATAAAAGCGTATGTGAAATATCGTTTTACGAATGTGAAATATTTGAATCGATATTAATTGTCAAATAAAAAAGATTGATTCTTCAATGAAAATTCTATTCCATACAATTATAACAATTAATATCTTGATGAGAGGCGGAAAGATATAAATGAGCTTATCATATAGAAAAGAGCACATAGAAACATTATATAGTTTCTCTTAATTTTATTATACATTTGATAATATTAGTATGATAATAAGATTAATTTTCTCTATCGAAATATTTCCTTATCGAGAAGCTTTGTAAAAACTTCGAGCGACAAAAAAAGATAGATAAAAATATCCAAAATATCCAAATAGCCAAAACATCGCTATATATAAATATGACTGTATGAAATATTTTTATATATTATTGCTTCTACCTCAATCAACTTGAGATTCAACTCAAATGGCTCTTTGAAAACATTCCTTCATAATCAAAAAAGTGGATGAGGAAAACAGAAAAAGATAGCCTTCAATATTCAATGTTCATTATTAATTCAACAAACATTGTACGATAATATAAATAACGATTAAGATAAAGAAAATAGAAAATCATGCCATAAATAAAATGGAAACCATGTTTGTTAGCAGAACTTTGATGAAAAATAAAATGTAAAATGCGTTTTTTTATTCATTATTTTTGCGTATAATATGATTTAAAATATAGATTATTTGTAAAAATTAAAAAAATTTATTTTATATTAATATAATATTAAATATGAAAGGATGAAAAAATTTCATATTTAACTAATATTCGGCAAATTTTATAACGTGTTAATCTTAATATATACGAGTACATGCTTAATATATACATATTGCATTTAATCAAGTTATTGAAAATAAATTTTATAAATTTTCATTGGACAAAAGATCCGAATACAGAATAGGAAACTGAATAGATTTAATTCACAATGGACTCACCTTCTGTACAACAAGCGGCGTGCCGAAATCCTTGCCTCCTTGGAGACGAAAACCCCAAGGAGATCCATCAAACCTAGATAGCTTGACGCTGATCAGCTGTGCCATATCACTGTTTGCGTGAACAGTCGAGCGTATCAAATCGAAGCAAATAAACGTGACGAACAAACGTACCAAGAACGATTTCAAAAATTATTATTACGATGATTATTGATAAACGATCTTTTAATTTGAGACTTGGCTATTTCGAGATGCACTACCAACGACTAGGTTTCTTTACTGGCTGTTTATATATAATGTAAATAATTTTTAAAAGAGGGGTATATATCGCGGTCTCTCGAATGGAACGTGGAAACGGACACGTACGTTCCTGAAGAACGCGCAGACCGGAGTAAAGGTATAAGAGGCGTCGAGGACGGTCAGTCGGGCAGCAGAACCTCCTCGCCACGCGATTCGGGACGAAGGGGAGGAGTACGAGAGTGCGGAAGGAAAGGGAAGAAGGAACATATACAGCAGGAGGGGAGACAAGAAGGAGCAAGGAACAGTGGTAGGAGACAGATTGTGGAGATATAGAGAAGAAAAGAGACACATTTATTCTGCTTTAACAGAAAGGAATCTCTTCAAATAGCAACATATGACGAAATTTCATTAAAAATGTTAAATTACATACCATTTAATTTTAAATCTTTAAGTTATACTAATTGGAGAAAGAGAGAGAGAGAGAATTTGAGTCAAATTTTAAATTCAGATTTTTCGAATACCTGAGATATGTCCGTGACCTAGACTCCAGGTACAATAATAAAAGGATATAAGAAGAAACAAACAAACATTGATTATTTTTCTTTGCCTTGAATACTATTTTTGAAATTTTCAAATCTGAATTGGCAGTTTGAACTCTTCAAGCTATCTTTGTTAGAAAGCTACAAAATAAAAAAATTAGAAATAAGAATAAATTCTTGACAGAATATAAGAATTGATTGAATGATATTATGGTGCTATAAATATAAATAAAAAAATTAAAGGAAGTAAAGAAGAAATTAAGCGTACTCCTAATTGATTAAATTCTCGAACAAAATTATTATGTTTTTTCAAGGGATTATCTATACTGTCAAGTGTGAAATCTGTGAACATCAGTGTATCTGGTGCAACATGCAAGGTGCTCTTTATATCATAATAATAGGACTTGAGAAACGAATGATAGAGGCAAAATATACATAATATAACGCTGGGGGTGGGGAAAGGATAAAATGATGAAGGGAAATATTGAGAATGTCGAGTTGTTATTTCGATGACAGGCATTATTATAAATATTAAAATATATGTTAATGCGTGTAAAAATGAATAGAATCTCTTAAAAATAGATTACAATATCTTCTCTACCCGAATTGAGAATTTTCTAATAATATAGAGGAGTATATAATTAAGTTTAATTATTGATAGCTCGCGTAAAAGGTAAAAAGATAAATGAAAATTCATTAAATAAATTCTACCGCACGTCTGTCATATAGTTTGGCCATTAAGTCTCTTAGCAATCAGACATGAATTTATCGAAATTGACGCGCAAATTACGATAGCGAAGACACGCGTGAATTATGTCAGAGAGAGGAAGACTCTCTTGTCTCTTTGATCTTCTTGCGTGCGTAATATAAAAATATTACGAGAATTCCTTCGCATATGTGAGGAGGCATATAGGAAAATTATTAAGCTCTTTGTCAAGAATCTTTAACTGCGCAGTTTAATTAAAATTAAGATATTTTTATTCCTACAGCTATTTTTAAATTATTTTTAATATCTGACAAAGAGTGGCTTCAATTTATGCATTATTATCGAGATAACTTTGTTTTTTTTTGCATACATATACAATAATTAAGGTAAAAAAAATATATTTTTGTAGAAAAGTTCAATATATAATTAATTGTATAATGAATATATCAATTTTGAAATTCGTATAAGGAACATTTCGATGGATGCATCCGAGTTTTCGATGCTGTACCCGAGCTCGGTGGTTACATTCTGCGCCGGTGGCGGTCACGAGGGCGCGAACTAGTTCGTGAATCATGCCTAGAATGCTTTACATAAATTGCTCGAAGTCGACGTCAGGATCGTGGACTCTAAGCAAGAAAGAGTAAGAGAATAAGAAAGAGAAGAGAGAGAGAGAGAGAGAGAGAGGAAAGACGAAAAAGAAGTTCATCGGCCAAGAAAGCAGACGTGACTCAGGCGGTCATACGCATACGAGACGCGGATAACAGAGGCCTCGGAAACCCTGGAAAGGAGAAAGTATATTCCACGATTCATCATCGGCGGAACCAGCTGTGCGGATTTCCGAGTAAGTGGTATATAACCGCGGTTGATTACTCGGAAATCTTTCTTTCTAGGTCAATTTCAATCATCGCATATTTGAAGATCCGATAATCTCCTGCAGTTAAAACGTATTAAGCGGAATGGCATGCTTATAATGAATATACATGGGATGTCTCGAAGACACTATTGCTATTACTTGTTGCTTCAAAAAAATGAAAAAGGCCATACCAATCTTATTAACGCTTGATATCGTAATAAAAGATATTATGCCAGGTAAACTTTCAATAATATTTTTATGATCGATTAGAAATAATACAAATACCAGTATATAGTCAAACGAATGTATACTATTTTCACATACTTACTTTCCAAATCATATTTCTCTAGAACTAAAAAACTAATTCTGATTATTCTAATCATCAGTTATTAATTATGCATCTGCAATATACATACTTGTCTATGATTATTACTTGATATTATTTGATTACTTGATTGCGTATTTTATTTAATTCGATATAGATTTATATCGATAAACATATATGCTAACAAATATAATAATAAAGTATATTTTGGGGAAGACAATATTTAATTATTCTGTTCTAACATAAAATATTTTCTATTTCATAGTTTACACAATTATAGAAAACTGCATATTTTTAAATACATTTAACTAAGTAGTTGTATTTAAAAATGCGCGAAATAATTAAATATTTGCTATGCTAGATTTAAAATTTGTATGTAACTTAATGCATTAATTATTCCACATATAATATGAAAAAAATCACGGAATCGCGAATTTGCTTTATTAATACGTGCTTTATTAATTATATGTATTATACGTATTAATATATTGTCAAGAAAAATTTTACAGGATGATTTAAATATGACATACATATATGTACATATATTTAGAATTATTATTGTTTATAATTATACAATCATATTATGTCGATAATCGATAACATTTTTTAAATCAACATGCCAGATAATTACGTTTCTAATAATTTTGAGCCATTTTCTTAAATTACTCAGATATTTCAATATTTCACTTTATATAATATATTTTTTTAAATTAATTTTATATAATACTTTAAAATACATAAATTTTTTCCATACAAACTATAATATTAGTCATTTATGATCACTTTATGGTTGCATTAGTGACTAACGCTTCGAGTGCTTCTGTCGTCTACAACGCTCAATGCCGGTGATTTCTGAAAGAAATATCATTAAGAAAAATCAGATTTGCTATTTATTCTATACAGGGTTCAACCATGACCATAATAATAATTTGACTAAATTATAGATTTAATTTAATTTACCATTTAATTTGTAATCTGATGAAATTAGTTTTCATTTGATTAAAAAATATATATTTAGATAGATAACATTTACTTATTTTAAGCATAAAGTTTTAAACATAAAGTCAGAATTTCAAGTTACAAATTAAATGACATTTATTATTTATGGGAATGATATAATATATTACAGTATGTGCGAGGATAATGATAGTTAACTGACAATATGTCTCATTAAACAACTTTGTTAAAAAGCATCAACAAACAATTAAAATTTTTAAGAGTAAATTCTTTAATTGTCGATTTACAATTATCATCACTTTTATTTTCTTTAAACGATTTATATCGATCATTGTAAAATATTACGAAGGAAAGCTTACAACTCTCTCTATTATATCTTCAGCTGCATTGACTTTAGCAGGTCTCGCAGGGATACCCTTTTTCGGTTCTCGTTCCATTTTATGAATCATCTTATAGACGCTTGAATTCATCAGGTAGTCATAGTTTGGTAAATTTGTTTTCTCGTACTTCTTAAAATTTACTCTGTAATACTCAATTAATTCGATTAAAAAATCTTTGAAAAAACAGAATTAAAATCTTAAAGATGTTTATCGAATTTTTACATATTAAGTTTATATAAAATTAATTTTAAAATATTTTTATTCTTACCCCATTGTTTTACCACGAATGACTTCTGCTTGACAAGACAATACTTCAGCAATCATCTCGTCATTGAAGAAATCATTCGGGCATCTCCATCTGCGACCTTGCGTAAGTTCAAGCTGCTTAGCTTGAGGCCAAAGATCTTGCGAATGCTTTTTACCTTTCTTGTGCACTTTTTGCTGAAAAATAAAATGTGACGAGTTATTAACTTTACATTTAAATTCGTGTATGCATCAGTTGCATAAAATTTATGGATTTCACAGATAAATATAAACATTACATTGATATCAATAAAATAGAATTAAATAAATAAGATAGAAAACAATGGATTTATAAAATAGATTTGAATATTAACTACAAGAAAAATGCATTTGATTCAATTCATCGTGCATTCATGTAATTAAGTTATGTAATCAAGGATTTTGTAATAGAGAATTGGCTTCATCTATTAACATTTAAACAGTGTGTAATTTTTGAACATGAATGGATAGAGGAAAGAGGAAAGAGAACGAAACAATAAAAATTTTATTCCAGGCAAAACGCAAGACGTTGTGTGTTCATTCCATCTATCGAGATACCTGTAATTCCTGTATAACTTGGTCTTTTGGTGACAGTTTAGGATCTGGTTCGAAACTTCCTACATAATAGCATTATTATATTTTAGATCACTGTTTCGCTTATATTTAAATAAAACATATCGAAAAATATAATATATTTTAATATTATAGAGAGAAAATTTTATATCTATAACATTATCGCATCAAATTTATTATATTATGGTTCATTGTTTTTTTCTTTGCAAAACAAATTCATAATTAATATTATAAATTCATAGATCCAAAATAATGTTGAAACTTACCATGCGATGGTGCCGGACTAGGCGATTTCAAAAGTTTAGTCTCATAAGAAACAATGAATTTCTTCACTCTATTCCCTTCCTCATCTGCGCTTTTCACGGAAATCGTACCGTCCAATTCCTTCATCTCTACTTCCTCTTCCTCCATTTCTCCTTCATCGTCACTAGGCTCCATCATTTGTGGTGTTGACCTCGTTGACGTCTTTCGCTCCAAGCATGCAATCTCTTCGATATAATCATAAGTTTCCGTAAATTCTTCATCCTCTTCATCAGTATCCTCTTCCTGTTCGTTTAACTTTTCTTCATCTTTTTGCTGTACGATATTCTTTCCTAAATAATAACAAATTATAATTAACGTGTTATTTGAAAGAAATGTTAAATCTAAAAATGTTAAATCTAAATGTAAAAATTTAACAAAATCTAAAGATCCAATTTATATTACTTCATTTTTAGCAAAATGTTTTTCATATTTCTCCAATTTAATACTGATGTAAGAGCGAACTGTAGAATTAAAATTGCGTAGCGCGATGAAACTTGAGAATATATTAAGAAAGTACTCAAAGTATGCTTTGATTTCAATCATGATTAAAAATCACTCGGTCACCTGGTGATTCGCGATGGCTGCCGCTTCCGTTGCTGAAGGACTGTTGTATACCACTCAATTCCATGATCTTGTGCAGTTGCTCGGATACGATCCTCAGGTGATTCTCAATTTCGCTTGGTAGCTGTTTCAGAGCAAGCAATTGCCGTTGCACGTTTTCTAGCTGCTGCTCAAGGCTAAATTCTGTGGACACCAGTTCCTTGATTTTCTCACTGTCAGCTTTCGTCGCCGCTTGATCCGTTGTTGAAAGGCTAGACTCTTTCTTGAATGCTGGTTCTTCGTCCTGGTTGGATTCAGCTGCGCGGGATTCAGAACGACAAATTTCCTCCTTTTCGAATTTCTCGGATCTCTCTTCCGTTTTAAATTCGTCAGTTTTGTCACTTTTCTCTTCTTCTTCTTCCTTCGACAAACTTGATTCAGATCTTCCTTCCTGCTCTACTTTACATATGAGTGTTGGTGTTGCGGCTGGTGTTATTGTCTAAATCAAGATTGTAAGAATATATTGAACAAACAAAGTCTAAATTTCTTATGGATTTTTGTCTGAAGGAAATAATTATTCATTGCAAAACAAAACTTCAATTTATTAAAAATTATTTTGCTTGTTATATCATATAATAATTTTTAGCTCGTAAAGAATAATATGTATGTTTAGCTTGTAAAGAGAGAAAAAAGTTTACAATGAAAAAACTTATTAGAAATTGAATATATACTTACCTTTCTGAATAACCAAATTAAATGATACTAGTAGAATATACCATATCCAATTGATATAATATTGATTATAATATGTGATTTAATTGTATAATATTTTATAATCAATTAGGTAATAAAAATTTAAATAATTTTAATTAATTAGAATAGCAACAAAAAATAAATAACAATAGTTATAATACAAATATTGTCAAATGGAATATGGAATTTTCTATTTCTTCTTATTGTCATTCATATATTATTATTGCGGAAAATACATTATACATCGACATGTAAGAAAGTTTAATACAAAATAAATAAACACACAACAAATTTCAATAATTTAATTGCTTAAAAATTATTTGACATAAAGGGAAAAAATTAACTATATTTTTGTTCATACACAGATTGGATTGATTTTCGCATAAAATATCTTTGCATTCCAGTTATTTATTTTATACGATAAAATCAATTTAACATTCATTCTAATAACAAGAAAAACAAAACATATATACTATGATTATAATAAAATTAACACATATAATTTACAAAATATTTTTATGCGGATCAACTTATTATCCGTGATAATCTAGTAAAAATTTCTAAAATTAAAAGTATACAATTAATAAAACAAAATTATTCTAGGACAAATGATCTTTGTTTAAATCTAAATACACAAACATAGGATAGACATGCGCGTAATTGTAATAATCTAAATCTAAATTAACAAATTTACCCCATTCTCGATACTTAATTTTACAACGAATTTGAGAGGCTCAATTATCATTTACTATTTAATTATATCAATCGATCCGCATCGAAACAACACACAAATATCGTTAAATGAAGATGATTATTTATACATATATAGAAGGATGATCGAGGTGCAAGGCACAAAACCGTAAGCTACTAATCTTGTGAAATCAATACCGATACGATTTGTAATACTTTGGTAAAGGACCGTCGGCACGAATGATAATCTTCGATTATCTCGTTCAATTTCAGCATCGATCTTCTCCTTGGAATTGTCGCGACGTTCTATGCTTTTATCGGTGACTTTGAATGAAAACCAAGGCAGATTGAAGTACATACTTTCCGAATCGGGAGTCGTCAAAGATTCTCTTCTAGATGATTTTGATAATCTTCGGCTACGACGATGGAACACTTCGCTGGAAACATAATCGCCAGTCGAATGGCAGAGACTCGACAAAACACCTGTTTCTCTGTCTTTGGACGATTTTGAGAGTCTTCGGCTACGGCGATGGAAAACTTCAGCAGAAACATAATTCTCAGCCGATTCCAGGAATTGGGATAATGTATTATCATCGGGGATGATATCTACAGATTTACGTGATCGTGAGAATCGTCTGCTGCCACGATGGAAGACTTCGGTAGAAATATAATTCTCAGTCGACTGCAAGAAATTCGAAAAAGCGTCCTCTTCCTCTGGGATTTTAGATGAGGAGAGTTCGTCGACTTCTTCAGGCAAAATCGAATTGTCATTGCATTCAATCTTATCGGTTTCTTTGTTTGACTCCGGATTAACGATAACGATAGATTCCTCTTGTAATGAACATAATGGACCGTCTTCGTGCCATCTGGAGATTTTTATATCGCAGGTATCTTCATCAATTTTCTGCTCATCTAGAGTTGAATCATCAGCAATATAATTTGAAGTCATGACAGAAAATTCATTTTGCGATATGCACGATGGATTTTCCTCGAGCCATTCGGAGATCTTGATACAAACATATTCCGTGAACAGCTCGAGAATTTCCAGATTTCTGCGGACGAATCGCTCAAAATATCGACCTCTCATTGTAGATTTTATCCTTGATGAAGATGTAACACTGAAAAGATTGTCGAAGCTGCTCTTTGCGGAACCGAAAAGATACGCTAATGCAGATTTTATATAAGGAGTCTGCCGATGAAGATATTTTTCCAAATAACGGCCCTTTGTTCTCGTAGATTTTGGCTCGTCTTTTTTATTTTTGATTACATTCGGATAATCGCCGATCGAATGCATCTTTTCGACATGTTGAAGAACAGTAGTGACATTTTTTTCGAGAAGATGTTTAACATAGCGACCTTTGCAACTTAAACGTCGGTTGCGAATCTTTGGTACATTTGATGACTCCAAGACACTTGATCTCTGCAATAAAAACTGCAATAATGTCGTTATCAAGGATATCAGCCGAATACTTTCGCGTCTCAAATACATCGCCAGATATCTTCCCTTTGTTCTGATACGTTTCATCCTAGAAGCGACGATGCGAGTTGTCTTCGGCTTCGAATGAAAGTGACGAGTAATAGGGCTGACGTTTCGTAGAAGAATCCTCTCTGCGTAATGTGCTCGCGGGCATCTACTCAGCCTCCTTCTAGACATGGTCTCGTTTGCGAGACAATTAAAACCAACATTTCCCGGCCAGTATTTTTTAAAGTAAAAGCTTCCCGATTTCATCTTTGCAAACTCGAATTGATCATCGATTTGTCGATCACGAGAAACGCAAGAGTTAGCATAACTGCAGAGAATATTTTCCAGATAATGACCCTTGAAAGGCGATCTCATTCCGGCTTCATTGTATCCCTCGAAGGAACTGAATCTTCGATAACGATTTGGCTTGATGTCGAATAACTTCGACTTGCATTTATATGTCGCGGGACACCCTAGTTGATCCTCGAAAGGACGAGTTTCATTCGAATCGAGTTGCGGAGAACGAGAGGGTAACAGTGATTCGTCGATAGTATCGAGGGAGGAAATTGAACACGAGGAATTCAAGTCAGACATGACAGGGGGACGATCTTCCTCGAGCCGGTTCTTCGTTTCATGCATTTTTACCTCAGATGTTTCCAATGGTTCCGGCGTCCTAGCGATACTCGCCTCTGATCCTGGCGGCAGCAAACCCTTTTCTACAAGACGCGCAATCACCGTCTTCCTGTCTTGTTTCTTGATTACGACCTTGTAACCCTCGATGTCGTCCTCTTCAATTTTCTGTTCACACTTTGGCTTTGGTACCGGTCGCTGTGGTTTCTGCAAAAAAGTGGAGGTGCGTTTCAGCTCTTGCGTCCGTTCCGGCTCGGCTGTTGCGATGTGTTGCAGCTCCTCCAGGACCTTCGAATCTTTCAGGATCGGGACACGCGGTCGTAGCTTTTTAAAGTTTACTCTGTCGATTGCGTTGAAAACATGGAAAAGATGGAAATATCGTTATTATAATCATAAGAAGATTCACATTTTTTAATTTAAGAACTTATTTAAATTAATTGATGTTATTCTTAATATTAATATTATTAGAATATTATTGCTTTTATATCAGAACGATGATAAGAGGATGGGTATTGACAATCTTTAATATTACGCAGAATGTAATCATCGATTAAGTCAACAACTATAAAAATATACCCCAATAATCCTTTATCGGATAAGAGTTCCTCTTCCTCGAGGATTAGCTGCGCAATCTCATCATCCGTGAGATTTTTGTTGGGCACGATCTCGCTGTTGGCGTCCACTGGTTTCTCCTCCGCGAGCTTTTCCTCCTCTTGCCTGGTCTCGTCTTCGGCGGATAACGATTCGACGACGGTCTTCTCTTCCTCGTACCGCTCGATCACTGTCTCCTCTTTTAAGATCTGTTCTGGGAAGACTGGCGGTAAGTCTGCAAGCTAATAAGCAAACTCGACATCATCATCTCGCTGCCACTTTCTCTGGTATCATATCTCTCTAAATGTCAAGGGAAGATCAAAGATTTTCCCTGACGAAAGAATGAGATTAATTTTCGGTAAAAAAGATTTTTAACTCTGAAATTATTTGATTTACAGAAGACTTATAAAAATCACATATTCTTGTTGTAATATTGTATTCAAATTAGAATTATTTGAGTCTATAATTCTTTATATTCCAAGAATCATGATATTCAATAATTTTGGCACGATGTAAATCTTTTTATAAAAATATTTGAAAATTTTTAATCAAATATTTTTCTACCTCTTAATATAAGAGAAGAAAATACGAGTGTATCAGTTTATTCAACTCTTACTTGGTGACATAAATAATCATCTTTCCTCTTCCTAATATTTTTTAAATGTATTCGAGAAATAGCAAAGTAATATTTTTAGAAATTTCTGAATTTCGAAAAGTACGTAAGAGGACGTAAAAAAATCCGCGAAGTCGAACCAAATATTCCAAAAAAATAAAAAAATAAAAAATGCGAATGAACATTGAGAAAGAGTTCACATGGAGACTTCATCCATTAGTTAAGAGTGTAGCTAGAAATGTTATTTACCTTTCATTTCACGAATACTCACAGCGATCTTATATGGGACGATGTTCTCTTCCGATATCGCTTCGACGGCCTTTCGTGCCTCTTCGTCTCTGTGCAAGCAACAAACACAGCAACCAAGAAAATAGACTTTCTCTCGCTCGCGATAGATGTGTCAAGCGGCTCGCGATCGCGAATATGCACCGAATGCACCGAATGTACGAGTTTCGGCGTGCGTGTCTGGTGAGATTTATCTCTCGCTCTCTACTCTCTATGCAGCGAATCCCACAAATGCGACAAACGGCAAGAAACGGGGCGCGACAGGGACCAGCAATAAAATCGCCGACCAATGATAAACAGATCTCTCATTCTGGGTCATCTATTTATAGGTGTCGCAATAGATTGCCACATAGCTCATACGCACCCCGGGATATTCTTGCCGTCGTCGAAATTATTATTGAAGAGTATATCGGCGATGAATGACGCACGGCGGCCAGCTGACGCATTCCGTTAGGCACGAGATCCTTGAGGACTCATTAAATTCGATTATAGTCTTCGATCATTACGATCCAAAATTAAACTTGATTTTGATAAAAGTGTAAGATGATGAAAAATATTTGCCTTAACAGTCATTTTTTGCTTGCGATCAGTTTCTTTAGTTATAATGAACATGAGTAATGACTTTATAATTGCTTTCCAACATACAATAAAGTTATTATTCGTATTAAATATTATTCGCATACTATATGAGCACTGTTAGCCAAAAGTTAAATTGTATATTTTTTTGTATATTTATAAATATTGTATTTTCTTTCTCTCTATTTTTGTCTTTATTTTAATATGTTTCATTTTTATTTTAACTATTAGATGTAATAGTTTGCAGCAGCGAGAAAAAATAGATAATTGCAATTTTTATTACAATAAATTATACATAAAATTTAATATAGAAAGTGTTTGTTATCTATAAACTTCGACGTAATGCCATTTCAATGTCAATAAATTCAGGAAAACTAATATTGAAGAACGATTTCTCTTGGTTTCAAATAGGACAACAGCTTAATTTATGTGAAGAGACGTGGTCGACTTAGTTATACATACATATTTATCGTTTATTCACTTTGGCAACGACAACCGGCACGGCCGACAGTCATTTATCTTTATTTTCTATTTTCTTGATATTAATTATATACGCTGTGCATCTAATTATATATTAACTAACGTAAGAATTAACTTAAGAAATTAAATAAAATAATATTTTGTAGAATGATATTTTTTTCGTCTAATAATTACAAATATGGAATTATTAATGAAAAATCACGAAGTTATAACATTATTGATTTCACTCAAAAGAAACTTCTTAAAAAATTTTTAATAATATAATTCAAGAAACTAGGCATATAATATATATCTCAATTTTTGTAGCTTTCCTTTAATGAGTTACAATGTCTTATTTACGACTTTCCCAAAGAAAGAAGATTTGCAATTTAAAAAATGGATCTTTAAATCCTTGATTTCTACGATCCTTACGATAGACTTACCTTTGTACAGCTAGAACAAAGTTGTTGCCAGCATGCATGAGTGCCTCGTGTGCTTGTCCGTGAGTTAAATTGCTAATCGGCTGATCGTTTAATCTTACTACAATATCTCCAACTTTTAAACCCATACATTCGGCCAGACTCCCTTCTGTGATCTGTAGATTATTTCCACATTTTTTTATTTCCACAGATTATTTTTACACATTTCTATTTTTTTTGAAAAATTTTAATGATATATTCGTAAGATTTTTTCAGATTTTATTTTATTTTTTAATTTTTAGATTTAATCACCGAAATATAATGAAATCAATGACATTTTAAACAAAATATATTTAAATAGGAATTATTATCCACTCTTTATTCTATTTTGATATGTAAGAAAATGGATAATATTGTAATCATAATTTCTTAATCTTGATAGTCTCATTGTCAATTAAGAAAAATTTATTCTGCTACGAAACTCACTCTTATAACAGTAAGCGGCTGCGGAAAATCGCTGCCACCTGCTAGTCGGAAACCCCATGGTGTGTTGTCAAATTTTGTGAATTTTATGCTGATTATCATGATGTTTTACATCTGAAATTATATAAAATTTCGCTTCATAACGTCTTGCAGCATCGCATCTGTCTGGAAAATCTATACTTAAATCTATACTAATCGTATTTAAAAATTTTTTTCCTTACAGGATTTCGAATGTTATATTATTAAAATTAATTAGTTAAATATAATAAATATAATATTGATTTAGAAGATAGAGAGAGAGAGAATTCTTCTTACGTTTGAATAAATATTTTAAATTGAATCTCATAATTATATGAGACTGAGATTGATTATCAGATATTATTATTATATATTATTCTTCAAAAATTTGTCTATGTTTTTATAATTAAATAAATTCTTATTCTTTTTATTTATTATAGATGTTCTTAATCGACGTAATATTTAAATATCTCAAATTTTGTTGGATAATAATGATTCGAAACGAAATTTTGGCAATGTAATACGACAACATGAATATCAGATACGGGTTTTTTGTAATTCCCAGCTATTTCCAGGTTGTTTACAAGCAATCATGTTGTTTACGAAAAGAACATAAATATATCATTTTGAATGATAAAAATATGCGTCATTTATAGAAAGAGAACTCAACGATTTATTATGCGCGAAATATCAAAGTCTAAATTTTTCTAAAAATAAATATAATCAATCATAAATACAATTTTCAAGTTGATAAATAAGCTTTAATTATTAAACATGCAAAGTGTGACGAGAATATATCGATCAAACAAACGTTATTAATTTTATCATAACAACGATATTATTGAAAAAAAAAATATAAAGGTATAACTCAAATTGTATATAATGTATCTGCTTTTTAAAAATTAATTTTTTCTCTTTATAAAATAAATTAGCATCTCTTTAAATAATAATAATAATAAAGTAAAATCAAAATCATAGATAATTCTAGAAATCATAGATAGTTCTATGTTTATCAAATATAAAATGTAATTTTTTGCTACATATGCTAAACATATGCTTCGCATACAAATAAAATTTAATTTGTATATATAACAATTTCATTTTTTAATATCATATCTTTTTGCAAATTTATTAGGAAAAATTTGCCGGTAAGATCCTTTATTCAGGGAAGGAAAGGAATGGATCGCGATTTCTTCCTTTCTGATTTATTCTCGACTGTATCTCGCAGGCCTGCGAATCTGCGTTATACCCGGAAGTGGCGGTACACAAGTATAGAATGAGGGAGGTGGTAGAATCGTGTATTACTTGCCGAGCCAAGCTTAGTGAGGGTATAAATTTTCCAAGCGGGAGGATGGCGGTTGATTAATCGCTGCGTGTGGCGCAGAGAGGATACAGAGGACTCACTGCATCCGCTGCTACGATACGGTCGAAATCTGCGAAATGGTTACTGGAATCGACGAGCCAAACGACGACTAAAGCGAAATAAAGCCCTGACGATGGAAGAACGGACACAACGGGTGTCCGACCCGGCCGTTGCCCGGCTTAATGCGGCCGAAACGGTGTCACGATAAGCTTTGCCAGAAGACAAGATGCGGTAGGCTTGTAAGCTGCAAATACTACAGAGCAGCCGATTCTGTGACGTGACTCTTGTGTCGGCTCAAGATCTATTTATTGGTCAATCTATATTGGATTTGAGCCTCTCGATTTCCGGTAGCGAATGCCCACCTCCGCCCGGTATATATATATAAAAGCGAAATTACAAGTTAAATTAATTCTAAACCGATAATAAAATCATGGAGAGAAAAAAGTTCTATACCATGTAATTCAAATATTTTTCTGGATTATGGATTTTTTAATAATCAAGATTTTAAATGATAAATGATTGGAAAGCATTATACATTAAGCGATAAAATTTTAGAATACATGAAGAATTATTTATCGCATCATGATCGTCGTTTTACTTTTTCTAAAGAATCAGATTATAATTATTATACATCGCGCGTATATAATTAGATAGATCTTAATATATAATAATATTTTTTTATGTGTAAATCTATAATGACATTCAAGCAAATAATAAATATTTTTAAATGTTTTGTGATATATAACTTTTGCATCTCGATTTTACTACATTGATATAATAGTCAATATAATTACTCATAATTGACTTATTTATTAAAACACAAAGAAATAACGGAATAAAATTAAAATGATTTTAAAAAGACACTTGAGATAAATGTTTATATTTACGTGTCCACAACAATGTACTAACATAAGTATGTTGATTATGCAGAATCTATTTGCTGAGTATATTTAGACACATGGGCGTCGCAATATCAATTGTTCCGTTTTATCTTGTCATTTGAGAGAAACTGTTTTAATTGCCTTTTGTACTTGTGTTAGCCATAAATAATTACGTTTTAAAATAAGAAACTTATTTTTAATATTTATATGTACTAGACATTACAAAGTGCGTGCTATACACGCACTATTCGGTTCTTTTTATTATCTAATATAATCTGATTGTAAGAAAAAATATATATATACACAATTATATATGAATAATATATAATTTACTATTATAATTTTATATATACATATATATAGTTTAGGTTCAGCTATCTTGCGATATTACGGAGCGTAGAGTTATATTTTCTATCTAGGGGTAGTTTAGATTCGGCTATTTTGCGATATTTTGCGATATATAAGGCACAGAGTTATATTATCTAAGGATAATGTAAATGCTACGAAGAAATAGCAAAAGACGAACATGAAAGGAGATTGAGAAAAGCATCAGGCAATGTACGGAGTAAGGAAGTTCCGCGTAAGTGTTTTATCAATTTTTTATCACTCATGTTTAGCTTTTTATCACTTATGTTACCCTTTAATTTAAAAAATTACTATCGTGAAACTAGCGAATTTACGGTACCTGATCGATATAATATAAGAATCGCATAACTCATTGATTTTTAAATTGATCAAAATAGAATTTTGCAATCTCTCTGTCTATCAGTGTAATTATGACCTTTCATAACTTGTGTATATTTTCCGAAATTAATTTATTATAAAGTTGTATAGAATAAAATCGTATATTAATACTTTGTCTACATATTAATACAATGTTCACAATGATTTAACATTCATTGTTCTGAAATAAATAATTTTAATAAAGTTTTATTGGAGACATTACATTATATATCGTGTTATAATTTCAAATGTGAGATACCTAATTTTTTAATAATTTAATTTTTTAATCTAATTTTTTTGTATTTTTTTATAGAAATGCTTTCAACATATACAATATTGAATAAATTTAATTATCTAAGTTAGTTAAAACAAAAAAATAAATAAATTCTCTAATACATATACATTCATGGATTAAAAAATAATGGGACTAGTTGTAACATACCTAAGCGAGAAAAATTATAATTAAATGAAAAAGATCTAATAAAATCAACTGTATCATATTGATGATTAAAGATATTAATTAAACGATTAATTATTTTGCTTTATTACCATTACTGTTGTAGGGATTTTTTAAAAATAATTTGAGATGAAAACTATTTAAATTTATTGATACATATTAACATATTATAAAAAGCATTTCAATAGTGTATAAAAATAATATAAAAACATTTTATCCATTTGTTCCAACCCAATCTAACTCTCTTTTTTAGACTTAGGTTTTTTTTCAATTTTTTCTTCATTTTCATTTTTTAAATTTTCTTGTTTGTATAAATTTTGTAATTTTACATTATTATATGTTTCATTAATATCGTTAATAATATCGTCCAGCAAACTGGATGCACCAATTCTAAAATAACAGTTTGTTAACCAATCTGATCCTAATTCTTCTTTGACCAAGACCATCCATTCGAGAGCATTTTGTGCAGTTTTTATACCTCCAGCAGGTTTAAAGCCAACCTGTAAACAAAAGATGTACTATAGAGGTATGATTCCCAAAAAAACTAAATTGTATTACCTTTCTAGAAGTCAGTCTCTCATATTCTTTTATCGCTCTACACATAACAATACCCACAGGCAATGTTGCATTGATGTCCTCTTTTCCTGTGGATGTCTTGATAAAATCAGCACCAGCAAACATAGCTATCATGGATGCTTTGTATACATTTTTCAAGCCAAATAGTTCTCCTGTTGATAGAATAACTTTTAAACAAATTTTTTTATTTTTCTTATCACAAGCATTACGAATAGCAACCAGCTCATTATATAGTTCTATCCATTCATGATTTAAGACTAATGTTCGATCAATCACAACATCTATTTCCTGTGCTCCATATTCTATGGCACAGCGCACTTCCTGCAGCCGAGTCTCTAAAGGATATTGTCCAGAAGGAAATCCAGCAGCCACTGATATAGAAATCATAGTTAGACAATATTATTGCATTCACATTGAGTTAGAAAAAAGTTTTCTTACCACTAGCGATTTTAATTGTATTGGACATTTTTAATTTCTTTAAATTAGCCAGTACATCTTTTATTCTAGAAGGATAAACGCATATACCCGCTGGATGAAGTGGTTTACTCCATTCAAATGGAAGCTCCTTGACAATTTTTGTAGCCTGTAATATTATTAATCAATTATTCATTAAAAAATAATTTCATAATTCTAATATACCTTTTTACACAGAGACTCCATATTGCTGCTTGTATCACCAGCACTTAAAGTGGTTAAATCAATGAAACTTATCACTTTTAATAACCAAGCTACCCTATTGTCTTCTGTTAATGTACTTGCTAAGTAATGTATCTGTCGTATACTTTTGTTTATTGATGGCTCATTAATGTATACCTCTAAGAATTTTAGCCAAGCTAAAAGAATGTGTATAAATTAATAAGAAAATATATGTAATCATATATACATACACAATTATATGTAATTAATCTTACATATAAAATGATAAGCATCTATGATATAATGTTAAAATTACACATTGCATTACTTACGTTTAATTGAATCCATTACTTCAGGAATTATCGGAGGATTATTCATAATTTCAAAAGAAAAATGAATGTACAAACTATTGTAAGCTGCTAAAATAGTATGATTTTGTCACTTTTATTTGCCCTATGTATCTGTTTATATCAAATTAAATATAAAAATCGTTGATATAAATTTATAAGTTAATGTGAAGAACATTGATGTACTTGCCAGAATTTATTCTTCAAATTGATTAAACAATTGTATATTATATAATCACTTGATGATAACAATTATAAACGAATAAGATGAATACATTCGTATAAGTATAAAATGTACAAAGTGACTTGTTACGTATGTATTTATAGGGTTAGAGATAACACAATCTGGCTTCAAAACAGTACACAAGAATATTTTTATTTTAAATTACTAGTTATATCGGTTATATCTATCAAATTTTAGGAAAAATTTTATTATGTATTTTTTCATTTACACAAAGAAATAAGATAATTATATTTGAAAAAATTATCTAAAATTTGTATACATATAAAAAACTTTTAAATATATCGAACAAGTGCGCTCGCTAGAAGCGTACATACTTATCGAATTCTATCTAACCGATTATCGGTGTTCAAATATATGATATCATTATAATATAAAATTCTTTTTTTAAACTTTATAAATTAATAGTTTTCAAGATATACATATTATTGGTACTACATATATAAATGAATAACACATTCAATTGTAAAATTTCATATAATTGAGACTTTACATATGTACATATACTTTACAGAATGTACATTTGCATTTTAATACTCAAAATAATTTATGTTTAATATATTCATAAATAATCATAAGAATAATTTAATATTAGATTTTGAAATGTTTTTCTTCCAAAAAATTATTAAAGTAAAATACTGACACACAAAGTGTAAAAATTACACTCTAAGCTAACTGCACATATTTGACAAAGTATATTTGTAATAGCACATATTTGACAAAGTATATTTGTACAAGTAATTTTGCTTGTGAAATCATCTGATTAAAATGTTATCGTCAACGTATGTGCTGTAAATATAAATGAATTTATATAGAACTATCGAATCTACTTGCACCTATTTAAAATTATCATTATCTATGATGCTCCCACTGTTCCCAATACTGTGAAGTCTGCATCTCAGCTAATCGTGATACAGTACGATCAAATGCAAAGAGTTCTTCTTCGCCAGTAAAGATATTTGCTTTATGATCTTCCTAAATGTAAAATTAACATAATTAGAAAATAATCCGAAAATTTCGTTATTTTTCAGCATATTTACCGAGCCATGTGAAATTTTCAAGTCGTCCATTAGCATTCTTTTCTCATCAGTATATTCAGACTCACTTTCTGGTAAAAATAGTTGCGTATGAGGTACAGCAGCTGACATAACTACCCGTACCTATAAAATATTATAAATTTCCATTAATTTAACATTAACTATTAAAATAATAGGCTAATATATCCTTTTTCTTCTTTAATATTAATTAGATAAGTTAAATGTATCTCAAACTGTTAGATTAAATCGGACATCAAGAATTATAATTTTTATACATATAGAAATATCCTTTACCCTATTATCATATAACGTATCAATGAGAGTAATAAATCGCCTAGCTTGAGATTTAAGCCGCAGATTCAATTGAGGTATATCTCTTATTATGATTGTATGAAATGCTTGACTCAATTCCAAATAATCGCTTGCTCCAAGAGGCTGCACAGAGATATAATAGCGATATTACATACCATTTTCATCTGTCATAAATTTTACCTATAATTAGTTTTATAAGTACATCTATCTTACTCTGTCACATAATTCTTCAAACGTGGAATCCAACACCTGCCCACAAGTTTTCTGGAAAGTGACGTTGCGTCCTCTAATGGAGATTGTTCGTGGTCGTATGATATCGTTCTCCATAGAGCATAAATATTTGAAAACTTTGTCCACGTCGTTTGCCGCATCTTTGCCTTTTCTTTTAATTTATACGGCTCGTTAAACAGCGACGCTATAGATAATTATTATATAATAACAATTTATCGATTTTCACATACATGAAATATATTTTCTTGTTTCCAGATCCCGATCTCAATCTGTAATCTATTCCAGAATCCAAATTACTAACGTAGCAATGATCCTTCAGCACTTTTATAAATGGTACGAAATTTCCCCGTTGTAGTCCATTCTTATACAAATCATCAGGCGACCTATTACTAGTTGCCACTACTATAATACCATTATCAAAAAGCTCTGTGAATAGCCGTTTTAATATCATAGCATCCGCGATGTCCGTTACCTGCAATTATTTTTACTAATTATTTTATTTTATTTTTATTTTACAGATACTTCTTTTTTCAAAAACGATATGTGAATATCAACTTGAAATTCATCGAAGCATAATAACCAAGTCTCTTCCGCGATACTGGATGCAACTAGAGGTATTGGATCAAAAGGTTGCAATTTGGTACTAGTAGTATCTCTTATAATCATCTTTTTTATTTTATGCACTCTACTATGTACATCCAACATGAAAGAGTGAAAATGAACTCTTCTTTTTTTCTCAATCTGGAATAAAATGTTTTTAACAAATTATATTAATGCTACAAAATATTACTTTTGCCCTATATTGCACATGGAAAGCCATGATTTCTTATTTATTTCTAATTATATATATATATATATATATATATATATGCGTGTGTGTGTGTGTGTATTATGTAGTTGTATATGCAACTATATGTAATTATTTATTATATTATACATTATAAGATTTATATATCTGTTGTTATTTAATTTTTGTATCTTTTATAATTTATTTTAGTTTTAAACTTGTAAAAATTTTTCTCATGATATTTTGTTCTATTTGTTACTTATGTATAATTTATATTATTTCCTTTCAAGTTTTTTTACATATACACTTTATATGAAAAACATATTATTACTAAATTGATGAAGATATTTTCTTGTTTTAGTTAAATCTAACTTCTCATGTGCAATACTTATGGAAACAGCAACCTGAAAGATACCTGGCAGCAATTGTAAAATAGGTCCATCAACATTGTTTTACCTCCACCTACTGCTCCATGAATATATAATCCTTTTGGTACGTCTTTCTTCCTGCTACCAAACCATTTTTCTAATAAATTTAATTGTTGTGGCTTGTAATTATATACATCTTCATAAATTCTCTGTAGAATTTGTACAACTTTCATTTGATGCGCATCATTCATCAACTCGCCTCTCGTTATTTTTTTCTTCAAAGTACTGACTGGTCCATCACTCAAATTTATGTCTATATTATTAGCATAGCCACATCTTTGGATACAAAACACTGGTTGAACACGAGTCAGCATATAGGTGAGATAATTTATGCTAATACACTTCTTTATAAGATAACAAGTCATAACTGCAGAGAATACTACTGGAATAATACTGGAAAGCAAAATCATATCTTTATTAAAACTTATGAGTTATTTGCCATATGATCTAAAATTGATCATTTAATCATAAAAATCAAGTTACAGAAATCGATTAAAGAAATTAAGATATAAACAATTATTAATATCTCATGTGTCATTAATGGAATATTAATATCTTATGTGTCATTAATGGAATACAGGTACGATAACCTTGACAGTAGAAAATACGTATAAAAATGGCAAGATGTATATTCCAAATTAAACTGACACATGCGGGAAATTAGAAAGATGTGTCTCGACTTTATGACAAGAATCGTGTGACAAGATTTATAATTCATAAAGTACAGAATAAAAAAGATCCGTTTTCACCATCGTACCTGTCAATTCAAATATACGTGTAAATGTCTTGACTCTTGACTTTTATCTTTTCTCTTATCCATTGAATACATACTGGAACGAGAGCCACAATGGTACGGTGCGCGCCGAGAGAGATAGCAAATTTTGTCAGCTTTTATCCTTTTCGAAGCGCACTGCGCATAGTTAATTCTACAAGTACAATAGCAAAAATTTATCCTCGAGAGATCAGTCGAATCAGCTTGAAATAACTTTTCCTTCAGACTGTATAAAAACAAGGATAGATAACTGTATTGGCCCTCTCACTCGGCGCACACCGTTGCCATTGTGGCAAGTGGCACGTGGCACTCGTTTTATTATGTATAAAATTCAATGTATGTTTCAAAAAAATAATTTTCTTAGATATTGTTGATACAAAATAATCTAATAATAATTACTTTTTCACATGTAGAATAGATTATAGATTTATTGTTTTTTACATTATAAAATGACTATGCATATAACAATATCTTTACAATATAAATGAAAAATATTCGAGTAATAATTTTTATCTATACTGTTCACATAGTCATCTTTGAGCACATTTGGTAAAATGCTTCCATTAGGAAGATTAGGAATGTGGATAAGACGTGCGAGATCAACAGCCTTGCAATACTTAATCCAAGCAATCCCACAATCCTTTATATCACAAGAATTGATTATTTTGTGATATAGAACAGAAATATTTCCCTCGAGACATTATTCTTTGCATATTTAGTCATTATGATAAAATTTTGGATATAGTGAGGAAGTGTAGAGTGGCGGCCTTCGCTTATCAGGACTAATCGCCTCTCTGGAGGAATAATAACGTTTTTCAATAACTTTATCAAAGAATCTGCTAAGTTTTACAGATGAACTGGAGCCTGCTGCTAAAGATCTTATCTGGCGACAATCCTGTTAAAATAAATAGGTTAATCAAGCATGTATTTAGTGAGTTTATAAAATAAATATATGAAATATTTACCAAAAATATTTCATCGGCACCACATTCTTCTGCAATAGTTGCAGAACGTCTGTGTACATTGGATTTTATGAAATTGGATTCTGAGATTAAATCGAACTTTGTACCAACAACTAAAATTGGAATCTGAAAATAAAAGAGTTATCTATATATTTGTTATAAACACACATATGTGGATATATATATATATATATATATATATATATATATATATATACACATAAAGAATTATATAATTTGGAAATTTTTATTACCTGTGTTGAGCCTACAAATTTCTCAGGATCAAAATCTTCAAATGATTTAGATTTTGAAGAAGTTCCATCTTTACTTAAAACTTCTTCCAACCATTTCTGAAGATTCTGTTGTGATTTACGATTTGTTAAATCGTGGACTAATATTATGCCTAATTATGAATGACATATATTTGCAATCACTGTCATATTCTGTCACAATTATGTATCCAAATTAGATATAACATTATATTTAATTACTGTAAAATATATATGTACCATTTGTGGGATTATAAAACACAGATCTTGTGTTTTTGTGATTTTGGCTGCCACCAATGTCCCATAATTCGATAAAGTATCTTCTTTGATTGGGTGTCCCTTCTTTATATTCGTGCAGCTTTACTTCTATTGAACAACCTACAGTCCAGGAAGGATTGCCAATGGGTTGCTGTTGGCATATTAAATGTGTCAATGATGTTTTACCGACACCTGCAATGATGTAAATCATTAATCAAATTATATAAAATGACAGTTAATTTATAATACAGTGTATGATGCAATCCTACACTGCATAATATAACCTAATTAAATATAATAATAAATATAATAATATAAGTAATTTTGATATTTAATAATAATTATGTAATATCAATTGCAAGAAATTTGTATTACAATAATTAGAATAAAGTTTTATTCGTTTAAATAAAATATTATATTTACAAATATCGATATTTTGAAAAAAAAAATAATACAATTCAATATTATATATTTTTCTCCTATTACCTGAATCACCTATCACAATAATTTTAACTTTATCAATTGCTGCCATTAATAAATCGTATTAAATTATATGTATTTCACGAATTATATTTGCGATAATTTTGACAGCTTGTCATTTGACAGTTTGTATCATGTTGGACTTTTCGGGCAAGTGCATCGGACATGAACGCCACAAGCAACCGAGATGGGAAGAGGCAACAGGCCGCAAGAGCTCAACATTAAGGACCAATAAAAGAGTCTTGCCATGTGATACCCAGTTTTGATTGATTGATTTTGATTGATCCCATTGGGATGTTAGTTAAACAAGATGGCGGTATCTGGTGTCCACAACATGGCCGTCCACAGCTTCCATTGACGCGGTCTTATTATTATTTTATATAGGTTTTTTTAAATGTTTTATTAATAAGTTTACATAAGTTTACATAATAAGCGATATAGTGATAATATATAAGTGGTAATCGGAAAGGATAAACAAATGTATCTTTGTCAAGAGAATTGCGCATGCGCGCCAACTTGCCTCGATCGTAATGACTCGTGCGGATTCGAGGCACTAAGGCCCGTTCTACAATGAGTCGTAAGTCGTAGGCAAATTGACCATTCATGGTTGATTATTTTTGAAATAATCAACCATGATTGGTCAATTTGCCTACGATTTACGACTTATGACTCATTGTAGAACGGGCCTAAGCGTGCTACCCTCACTACCGAAAAAGTAGACCAGTTTCTAGACCTGTATGTAAGATCGTGACTGAAGCGGAATGGCCGATCTCAGGTTTTTCTCTGATTTCAAGTATATATAAAACATGAGTGCTGAGGAGAGACTGGTGACTGAGGTACCTAGCAGTTTGAAACAACTGGCGCGTCTCGTTGTGCGTGGATTCTATACAATAGAGGATGCTTTAATTGTGGATATGCTGGTTAGGAATCCGTGTAAGTGATTATACACTCTGTATGAAAATCCATCAATTAAAATAATTTTATTAATATAAAAAGATACACATTTGTATAGGTATGAAGGAAGATGACATTTGTGAATTGCTAAAATTTGAGCGCAAAATGTTGAGAGCCAGGATATCTACGTTACGAAATGATAAGTTTATTCAAGTAAGATTAAAGATGGAAACAGGATCAGATGGCAAGGCACAGAAAGTTAATTATTACTTTATTAATTACAAGGTATGAAGAATTATGATTTTTTTTATTCAACAAATATATAAGAATTAATGAGACTAATAAAGTAGATAATTGATAAAAATTTATATTTTTATTTCAGACATTTGTGAATGTAGTAAAGTATAAACTTGACTTAATGAGAAAAAGAATGGAAACTGAAGAGAGAGATGCAACGAGTAGGGCTAGCTTTAAATGTCCAAGTTGTTTAAAAACATTTACAGATCTTGAAGTAAGTATGACAACACAATATAAGTTAAGAACCTTAACAATTAGAATCAATTCTATTTATATTATATTACATTGTTATATATTATAGTAAAATAACATAATATGCTAATCAAAATAGTATATAAATTATATATAACAAATTATAAAGCACTAAATATATTAATATTTTATTATTATATTATAATATTAATCTAAGGCAATTATTATAACACAGATGAAACTTCATTAAACTCTTATATAGGCGGATCAACTTTACGACATGAGAACTGATGAATTTAGGTGTACATATTGCCGGGAAATAGTAGAAGAAGATCAATCTGCTCTTCCAAAGAAAGATTCTAGATTATTATTAGCAAAGTTTAATGAACAATTGGAACCATTGTATATATTATTGAGGGAAGTAGAAGGAATCAAATTGGCACCTGAAATATTAGAACCAGAACCTGTTGATATTAATATTATTCGAGGGTAAGTGTTTTTCACAATGCATTTATTCACATTAAAAATTTTCAACTTGTTAAAACAATAATAAATTTTAATTTTTAGTATTGACACGAGAAAACCAAGTAGCCTTAGAGCACCTAGTGAACAATGGTCAGGAGAAGCTACTAGAATATCAGGTTTTGTGGTAGAAGAAACTAGAGTGGATGTTACTATTGGAGACGAATCTCCAGATGACAATGCGGCGAATCACAGAAAGGAGAGACCTATATGGATGACAGAAAGCACAGTTATTAATTCTGATGGTTCACAGGTATATTATTCTATTATATCTTTTGTATATGTATTATTTTTTGTTATATACATATATATATATATATATATATATATATATATATAATTGTTTTATAGCCTGATGGTGTGAATACACAAGAAAGTATCTTGAATAAGGCTGCAGCCACTGCCACGAATATAACTACAACAAATAATAAGCAGGGCGATGATATCATGTCGGTGCTATTAGCTCACGAAAAGAAAGGTGGTACTAATTCCATGGCATCCATTAAAGCAGCACTTCCACAGGAATCCAGTGACAGTAGTGATAATGAGGAAGATGTTGAAATGCAAACTATTGATACTGGTATGAACAATTTATTAAATAATAGAAATTTCAATATTAGGATAATTGTAATAACTCAAATATATCAAATAAAAAAGAAAATCTCGAATCGTGGAGCAAAAAATTATTGACGATTAATTTATATTTCTTTAAATCTTGCAATTCAAAATAACTTACAGGTGAAGTGGAAATGATTGATTCTGAAGACGATGAGCTTGTACCAACCGTTAGTGTTGGCGGTAAAACCGTCGCGATCACTGATGTTAATGATACTCTAATTGCAGAAATGACATCAATAGAGAAGGAGGCTTATATTCAAACGTATCAAGAATATTATTCACACATGTATGATTAAGCAAAGAACAATAAGTGTCTTCATGATAAATGCTCTATATAAGACTGATATTGATTTGATATCTCTCTCTCGTCGTTTCCTGTAATATTTTATATAATCATAAAATGTGTATAATTTTTGAGAATATAGTATAGTGATCTTTTCATGGTGATATAACAACTCTGATGGATCAGTTTGTGTATTCTTTATATTGATAAATATAGCACATATATATTTTTGCTATATTTTTCACATTTGAAGAATTAATTGGTATAAAAAGAAGGAAGACAAAAAGGTGCGTTATTACAATTTCATATATATTTTCTAATGCAACTGAACAATACTATTACAACAGTTTTTTAATAATAAATAAATAATTGAATGAAAGAAAAAAATATTCTGTAAAATATAAGAAAATAATTAATAATGAATAATATACTATGTCACTTCTGGTAAAACGGGAAATTTTCAAACTGAATCAAACATGAATTATTCATTAAGCTTACTTGATATTTTCTTTTTTTTTGTTCTCGTAGTAAATTTCTGTTCGATCATCACCATCGCACAGAAATTCCGAGATGATTTTTATTAATTAATCTTTTCTCTTTTTTTTGTATTTTTTTGTTTTTTCCTTTTCTTTTAAAAACAATTTCATAGTATCATAGTTAATGTTTTTTCCTTATATTTAATATAGTTCGTTCACTAAAAATTATATCAAAAGAATCCAAAGAAAAAAATGCATATTTCAAATAAATTCTGTATAAAATAATAGTTCTACATATAATAATAAAATTTTTTTGAGATTGGATTTTAGGATTTTTTACTTATTTATTTTAATATTATTTATATTTTAATATTATTATTATTTGAATATAAAGATAAAAATCAATTTTTTTAAACACGGAAAAATAATCCACTACGAACGGAGCTCAGGATTCTTTTGAAGAAATCAGCTGCAAGAAAAAGCGCCGATCTTTGGTTTACTCTGGTTCATTTAAACGCAAACGAGCAAAATCTTCAAATACGATATTATCATCGTCATCGTTGGCATAACAAGAATTCTCGTAACGTGCTCTTTCGATGCTTTTGCTCTTCTTTAGTATAGCCTTTTCTCTTTCAATGGTACCTACATAAAAGAAAATGTTTGAATGAATTAAGAAATTCAATTTTTCTTTAAATCTTTCGTGTATGTATGTGTGCATATGTGTGTGTATCAACGTAAATATATAAATGAAAATTTTTTAACTATATTCAAAATTCATTGTTTATGTGCAAATATATATAGGTAAAATAACGTAAACTATATACCAGGAGCTGGATGCATCAATTTGAATGGAACATCAGTAATCAGTTCACCACCTAAGGTACCACAGTTCAGCTTGACTCGAACAGAATAAGAAATCACGATACCCAAGGCTTCAGTCGGGCATTTACCCTCAGCGATTAAAGTCGAGGATGCCAAATTTACATCGTCATCCTGAAAAGTCAAAATGGTATGCCATAAAATTTTATTTAAATTTTGGTCAATGTTACTATAAGTTTTATATGTATATAAAATAAAAAATGTGTATTATATAATATTTGATATATTTTGATATCTTAATGCTGAAGAACTTGTTACTTTAAGATGTCCATCGAGAGCGATGCCACGACGATCCTTATTGCTGCTGGCCAAAGGCACAAGATAGAACTGTTTCGTGAAGGATGCGCCTGGTGTAATCGGACAACCCTCGCGAGTCTCCAAGCTAGCAACGTGCCGCGAAAATTGAGCATTTACCATAGTCACCTCGCAATGTTGAACCACATACAACTACGGAAAGAAAAAGACAATGGAATACGGTAAAATACATATGAGACTTATTCGATTTTTAATTTCATGATATTTACTTTGATATTTTTTACTGCCTTTCGAGAATTGTTCGTAACTGTAACGTTCGCCGCAACTTTCTCGCCATGATAATAAATTTCTCTATCCAATGTGACTTCCAAGTTCAGTTTACCCTGGGAGAAGGTGAATCCCTTGAATACCAAAGAGCTGGGAAGTCGACGACCTCGCGTCGGCGGGGCATATTGTAGTTTCTTGATGGCTAATGATACAGAGGACCTTTTGTGTCCCTAAAAAAAAGTAAAAAAATAAACGCGTTTTTGCAGAAATTTTACTTTAAAATTTTATGCTATATATATATTACTACTGTATGCTTATTAATTTTCTTTTAATTTTTTTTTATTGAGCATTTTATGATTTCTTGTAATCAATTTATTTTTCCTTTATTTGAATACCTTGTCTTCTTCGTTGTCTCCAACAAATACTTTTACAGCATATTCGACTCCCAAAGGCTTTCCTTGATCATCGTCACCGGGTTGAAGAGTGACTGAGCATGGAGCCATCTGCGGAAAGTGAAACGTGAATGGATATGCATTCGAACCCAAACGCTTCAACAAACGTTCTTGAATCGTTGTGGTCTCCTGCTTCTCTTTCTTCAATGGTACTATTTGGTCGCGACATAGCACGAGTTCTTTGCTGAACTTGACTCCCATAACTTCGTCCTCTTCGCGACCATATCGATAAGTTGTCGAGACCTAAATATATGTATGTGATACAATATTAGAACATTACTTATTAACGAGAAAAAGTTTTGGATATTTTCAGAAATCATATGAGAATATAATCCTAATCCAGGAATATGTATTTTATATATACTAAGAGTTAGAATTTTACTCACTTGACCAAAAACTTTACGCCCCTGAAGATAGTCATTCTCCACGACAATAACGCCGTCAATGGGATCAATATGATCTAGATGATCGATGAAGTCTCTCTTGCCCAGATATACCGTAACTTTGCCTGAATACAATATTTCCACATAACACTATTAAATGCTCAAGAAGAATTAAATTTCAAAAAAGACACTTGATAGTTGAGTAAACTCACCATTAGGGGTAGTCTTCTTGAATACTTTAACGGCTACAATGTAGGCCAGAAACAATACAGGAAACATTTAGCGTCGTTTTTTTCTAAACGAACGAATGATTTAGCAAAGAAATTTGTTTCCCGCCCAGAAGTGACACGTCTCGAGTACCAAGAGTAGATCTTCATATAGTCTCACTGGGGCTTCTTTTTTCGTTTCGAAGCCGTATTCTACTAACAGGATTACTTCGTAGAACTGTTTTAAGAGGATTGTGTTAGTTATTGCGCAGAAAAAATCGATATGCGATAGCTGTGCTGAGGAAGCATGTCATAAGCATTTTAATAATACTATTAATATTGCAAAATATTTGATATAAAATATATCTATATATAGGTGACAATCTCTTGCAAAACTCACAATTGTCAAGTATGTATATATACATATATAAAAAAACTTTTTTTTTACTTGGAAATAAGAAAATGTTTCTTTTTTATTCAGTCTTAAGTTGATCTTTATTTCGATAATAGAATGTTTATACAATATAATACAGAGGTATATATCTCTTGTAATCGAAATAAAATCCCCTGAAATTTCACACGATCGCTTGTGTGTGTTTTCAAGAGTTTCCTTAATGATAACAGTACCTATCGCGAGCTTCAAATAGATATTACTTAGTGTGTTAACAATTAAAAATTATATTGCCCGCTTATATTTCTTTTTTTCATTTTCTTACATTCAATAATTCATAGACAATCGATGTAACACGTATGTTTTTTCCTTTATGTCACTTGTGTACATGCGTATGTATATTGTGTATATGTATGCATGAGCACCATCGATGTACGATGCATCCAAAAATACCATGGTAACTGAGAAACACTTTCTTTTCTTTTGCGCAATATAAAAAAGGCAGTAGATTCGAATGCCCTTCGAAATCGTACAAGATGTTTTTTCCATATTGTTATATTGTGCTTAGAATATAAAATAAGGAAAACTCTTGTCTGAGTGTTCCCCTTGGTGCCCTATATTTTTTTTATTTTTGGCGAAATAAAAATGCACGCAGCCATTAAGGATAGCAAGATCATATTATTCTTGAATAAAAAAAAAAAAAATTTTTGCGTGAAAATCTTATTATTGCAATGTAGTAAAAATTTCACTGTATATTAACAAAAAAAAATCTTTTACAGTAACAAACGACGGTAACAGTAAATAATAATAGTCTTAATAATAATAGTAATGATAAACATTTTTTTATAATAATAGGCACAATTAGAGTATATAATTATATTCATTATTCAGCACTTTTTTTATTATAACTATACAGAAATTCGTTGCTACCAGGGAACAGAAATACTGTATGTGACGAGATTTTATGAAATCTTTATTCCAAATACTTTATGCTTCACAATGCCTTCATACAATGCCTACTATAATCTACGATATTATTCCGACATTTTTGCGGCTTTTGTAAACGTTTATATCTTAAATGAGATCTTTTTTTTTTTTTTTTTTTTATAAAAATGTTTAATAAAGAGTAAAACAAATATAACAACTGCAATGAAAATTTCTGCAAAATGTTTTACAATTTTACAATTGTATTTTTACACAAAATGGCTAATTTTCTAGTCGAACAAAAATCTTAGAATCTCCTCGACGCGAGCCGATTACAACTCGCAAACGAGTCGAAATAAAAATTTACTATTCATTTAACAAGTTATACTAATAAATTCTTCACGTGTAGATTTCGGTTTACAAATAATTCATAGAACTATTTAATTTCTTAATTTACGCAATTATACATTGAATTCTAAATGTCATCTCGCTTCTCGCAGAGCAGTTAGAGCTCGGGAAAGGCTTTTTTAAATCACGCACATTATCTTCTGTCTCGAAATTCGCGAAATGATGATACACGTTTATATTAAGATACTTAGAGCATTGTTTGCTATATATACTTGAGCAATATCTAAATTATCATAGCATCAAGACGAGTAAATGAAAAATTATATGGAATACATCACTTACAACATTCGACACAATGCTCTATCTGCATAACGTGTACAAAATCTCAAGAATTTCTGCGTCTGCAATTTTATAACCTGCCTCCAATGAGCTAAGAGAAAAATATATTTGTGATAAGCTAGGAGAAAAATCTCTCAATTCTCTTTTTCTCTTTCCCTCTTTCAGCTGGATATCAAGCTTTGCACTGCACATGTATCATATTTTCAACCGTAATAACATTTGTACATAAGTAGAATCAGTTCCCTGATACCAGCGTACTTCTAATGTTGAACAGTACAAATATGTTAGTCTTGAAAGTATACATGGTAAATTTTCAATAATTCGACGTAATTCTTCTTTTTTCTTCCTATGAACTTACGTCATTAATTATTTTTTTTTTCTTCCGCTTCTTTTTTCCTTTCTTTTCTTTCCAGCCATGATATTTTGATAAAAACATAATTTCTTATTCTTTTAGAGATGATTTCCACAACAAGGTGATGCTGCGAAATCTCGACGTAAGCAAAATTTATCTCACACAGTAAAAATCTACAATATATTAAAATATTATAAAAAATTTTTAAATTATTTTTTCTGTATAACATCTCATTAATTTGAGATTTTATGCTTTTTTTTTCCAACAAAAGAAAACAAACATTTACAAAACTTACCTAATGTTCTTCACAGAAATATCTCCTTATAAATAAGACTCTTTTCTTATGATAGATCTAAAAATTAAAAAAAAGTTACAAGTTATAATATATAAAGAATAAAAAAGCATAGATAATCTCTTTTGCAGACATTATTATAAGAATGAATTAATACTTACAACTCGGTGCAGCCGCAGATTCGAATCTCTTTTGTATCTGATCATATGTGAATTTGACAAAAGCGTCGTACTGTTCAGACAGTTTTAAATGTAAGATCTGATCGTATTCTTCTCGAATTTGCGTTTCTTGCTCCTTGAGCATTCGTTCGCAGATCAAGCCAACCTACAAAACCATTTCTTATGGACAAATCTACAAGCCAATACTTATCTGCTGTAGTAGTAAATATTTATACAAAATATATTTCAGAAAATAAATCTCTCTTATTGCAAAATATGCAACTAATTAAAGAACTCTACCTGTCTAAATGTGAATAGGGGTTTTTCCTTTCCATTAGAACTATGACTAAAAGGAGTCGAAGAAGAGCCAGAAGGACTGGAAGGACCTTCCATGTCTGATGAATCACCACTATTAGTCTGAGGATGAAAGTGTAATTGCTTACGCCGTTGCAATCTGCGAATTTCTTCTCTGATGTTGGCAGCCATTTTTTCTATACAAGAAATACAAAATAACATTGTTTAAATTAAAAAAATAAATATTTAATATAAATTGTGTGTGTATATATATACACACAAACACATATATGATTTATACTAGATATTTATAGCAAGTAGCATGTTTCCTATTAGTTAATATATTCTTTTATTTTGCACTGTTCTATATTAAAATTATATAAAGAATTAAGATACTAGATATAATTATTCTTTATTATATACTAAATATAAATATTCTTATTTATTCTTTATATATTATTAATATAATTTTATGTAAATTTTATATATGAAAAGAAACTATATATATGAAATAACAATAACAAATTTATGTAATATTTCAAATTTTTTTCTTAAATTTTCAGATTTATTCAAATATAATGTTTATTCAATAGATTTTTAAATATAAGTTAATTTGTTATTTAAATAGAATAATAATCATATTCAAATGTATTATATGTTACATGCAATTACATGTAAAAGCTTTTATGAGTTTCTTCTTTTTTTTATAACAATTTGTGACATCACTTTATTGCTGCTTTTTCGATTTATTATTTATCTTATGTTCAATTCCAAGTTTGTGTATTCCTCAATAACTAATTTCTTTTTCATTTCTATTTTTTCATCTTAGTCTCTAGTATCTTAATTCTTTATATATTCTACATCTGAGTTTTTATTGATTTTTCTTCTACGTTTAAAATTTAAAATTCAAGATGCAATATATATATTTTGCTACTTCTTTCAATCCAAAATACTTATTAATCATCCAATCGTATTTCAGGCATCTTTGCTGACAAGACAAATGTCAACAATGATTTTTCCTTCAAAAATGAAACATCATTTCCAATATATATACGTAACGATCTTCTTGTGTCATATTATGTACAGTATATACTATGTATCATCAGTCTTGTCACGTGCAGGAAAATAGAAAATACACGATTTCTGGACGCACCTTTGCGCGCTTCCTTTTACATCGCAGAAAAACAAGAAGAATGGAACGTAAACCCGAATCCCCGAGAGCGCGTCCGTTACTACATTACCATATGATTTACGCGTGCCGCCCCCTTCTCTCCGCAAGGGGTCCGTGAATACGGGTTTTAAATCGCTACAGCTTAGCCGCCCCTGTCTGTTTCGTCGTCTCACTCTCTCTCTCTTTCTCTCTCTATCTCTCGCACTCGCTCCGTCTCTCTTCCATCCTGCATGCGAGAAAACGAGCGTTTACAGGGACACAGAGAGGGAGGAGGAGGGGAAAGCGAGACGGAGATAAACACGGAGAAACGCCGATAAGAGCGACGAAGAGAACGAGCGGGGCGAGAGGGGGGGAAGAGAGGAAGAAAAAAATGGCCGCAGCCTGCGGTGTAATTACCAGGCGTCAATTTGCTGGCTATCTCGCCGAACGGCGACGATTTGTGCGGCAGCGATCCACCGCGCGGCGACGACGACGACGACGACGCGGACGCGCCGGGCGACGCGCACGACATGGGCATGCACCTCCGTCGCTTGCTGGGTCGGCCGTGGCTGTGCACCGGGTCGAACTCCAAGGACCTCTTGAGTGTGGCGCACGCCATGGTGCTACTGCTGACACTGCTGACGGTAGTGGCGCGGTGTTCTCGGGCTCACTGTGCGCCGTCTACGACTGACACCCAGTCGTTCGGGCCGCGGCCCCGAGGGGGGGAAAGAGGGGGAGGGTGGAGGGAAGGGGGCAAGACGGAGCCAACGAGGATAAAGGGGAGCGGCGCGATGATCTGGCGCAGAGCGACACGGGGAGCGGCGCCACGAGGCGAGGAGACGACGATCCTGGGAGGACGATCTCTTGAGACGCGAGAGTATTTTGCGCGACGAGACTGCGAGTTCGGGCCGAGTTCTTCCCCGATGACGGGGACGGGATTCGTAGGCGCGCGTGTGGCCAACGCGCAGCTCGCACCGACAAAACAAACACTGCGCTGGAACAATATGGCCGCCGCTCGCTACGCGCAGCGAGCTCCTCTCTTTCTCGCCGTCTCGCAGTTCGTCCCTCGACTCCTCGCTGCTTCGCTCCCTCTCCCTACGTTTTTCGTCGCTTGACTAGGGGTACGATGGGTGAGAGAACTTCGCCCGATGACATTTCGATCTCCAATGGCAGAATGCGCCTTCTAGGGATTTTAGCCCTCCACGTTTTCCTTTCTCTCGAAAATGAAAGCGGAGATGAAAGACTTCTGTTGGATATTGAACGCCACGTAACGAAAAATTCTCTAGATAGATTTTATTTTAATTAAAAATTTCGCGCGGAATGAGCTCTTTTGATATATCTCTACTTAGCTGTCAAATTTGTAATTATATAAATTTACAGACTGAACTCTATCGACGTTTTTCACTTGGGATGTAGAAAAATAGCTGCATTCAGCAAATTCAACAGTTGGGCAACGTTACTAGATTTTTCGATTACTCGACGCTGATTGGTCGGATCTGAAAGTAGAAACCAATTAGATTTAATTGTTACTTAGCAGCGAGTCCGCTGAATGCAGCCAATGTAAGCGACAGACGAATCAACCAATCGCAATCGAGCAGTAACGTAAGCAGTAGCGAATCAAAAGACTTGAATTTGCCTACTGCTCGCGTCTTTTTCTCTCATATGAACGTGTGTATGTGTATACTACTCTAGCACTGACTCAGTGCATTTCGCGTTTGCGCCGTACACGCGAGTACGAAGCGCATACCGATAGTTGTACGTTGTACATCGATAATGTCAATAATCACGGTCGAGCGTTAATTTTATGCGGACGCGCGTACGATACGATGTCGCAGTAAAGGGCACGGTCACGCATATTTTCGGTACGAGATACTCGTCGTCGATCGGGCGGACGGACGGACGTACATGCGTAGGGTGCGTACATGCGTACGGGTGTCCGAACCTCGCCTTTCTCTCTCGTACGTGCTCGTACACGTCGTCTTCTCGACGCGGGGCGGGGAACGCGAGGGAGGCGGGCACTAGGTTATGAAAAAGTCGTGCAAATACTGGACGGGCGTGGGTAACATATCGACGGTGTGTCTGTCGAACGCGAAGCGCGATCGCGCGACGAGTCTCGGGGACGACAGTCTACCGAGCTTTTACATGAAGGAGCAGGATATACCCGAGTATCTGGAGGGTTGCGGGCTGACCACCTGCACGACCGGCGGCGACATGCCCGAGGACATGGAGGTGCCGCGCGACAATAAGGAGCACCCGAGTAACAAGGAGAAGAAGCTGTCGACCACTTCCATCAGCGGTGGCGGAGGCGGCGGCGGTGGCGGTCAGGCTGACACCAAGAAGACCGTCATGGTCAAGCATCCGGAATCGAATAAACCGAAACCTACGACGAAAAAGGGTAAGCCGATTCAAGCAGAATTGGACGTGGCCAAGGAGTTTGTTCGTTGTCGGGAGGAGTGCGTGAAGCGGTTGGATCTCAGCAAGGCCAGCATCACGAATCTACCGAGTTCCGTGAGGGAGTTGACGCATCTGAGGGAGTTCTACATCTACGGTAACAAACTGGCGACTCTGCCGCCTGAGATCGGTTGCCTGGCGAATCTGGAGACCCTGGCGTTGAGCGAAAACTCGCTCACCAGCCTGCCCAACACTCTGGAGAATCTCAAATCGCTGCGTGTCCTGGATCTCAGGCACAACAAGTTGAATGAGATACCGGACGTGGTGTACAAGCTTACGTCCCTCACCACGTTGTTCCTGCGCTTTAATCGAGTCAAATATGTCAACGATAATATACGGTATTTGACAAATCTTACCATGTTGAGCTTGCGAGAGAACAAGATCAAGGAACTACCCGCGGGTGTTGGTGAACTCGTCAATCTCATTACGTTTGACGTTTCGCACAATCATCTAGAACATCTGCCCGAGGAGATTGGCAATTGCGTGCAATTGTCCACATTGGATCTACAGCATAACGAGCTCCTGGACATACCGGACACGATCGGGAATCTAGTGTCGCTGACGAGATTGGGTCTTCGTTACAATAGATTGTCGAATATTCCAAAGTCATTGGCAAACTGCAAGATGATGGACGAATTCAGCGTAGAGGGCAATCAGGTGTCACACCTGCCGGATGGTCTGCTGTCCAGTCTGTCGGATCTGACGACGATCACGTTGTCCAGGAACAATTTTACCGCATATCCGTCAGGCGGACCGTCCCAGTTCACAAACGTCTATTCTATCAATCTGGAACATAACAAGATCGATAAGATACCCTACGCTATTTTCTCGCGAGCCAAGAACCTCACGAAGCTGAACATGAAGGAGAATCAGCTGACTGCTTTACCGTTAGACATCGGCACATGGGTGAACATGGTCGAGCTGAATCTCGGTACTAATCAGCTGATGAAGATCCCGGACGACATACAGTACTTGAAGAGTCTGGAGATACTTATACTATCCAATAATCTGTTGAAGCGTATTCCGGCCACCATAGCGAATCTGCGTAAGTTACGGGTGCTGGATCTGGAGGAGAACCGAATCGACTCGTTGCCAAACGAGATCGGTTTCCTGCGCGAACTACAGAAGTTGATTCTGCAGTCAAATCAAGTCGTCTCGTTGCCGCGCGCAATCGGCCACTTGACGAATCTCACGTATCTTAGCGTGGGGGAAAACAATTTGAATTATCTACCGGAGGAGATCGGCACCCTGGAGAACCTGGAGTCACTCTACATCAACGACAACGCGAATCTACACAATCTACCATTCGAGCTAGCGTTGTGCACGAATCTCAGTATTATGTCAATTGAGAATTGTCCATTGTCGCAGATACCGGCAGAGATAGTGGCCGGTGGACCGTCGCTGGTGATTCAATTTCTTAAGATGCAGGGACCTTATCGGTCCATGTAACAGATTAATTAAGATCGCGTGTTTTCACGCGCTTCTGAGTTACATTGATGTCGATTCTTAATCACAAAAGAGCAAGCGATATATTGTCAAAAAATTGTTTGAAGGAGGGAAAGATATATTTATATAATATGAATATCTTTATCGACTCTTAAATTCTCACTCTAATGATCTCATTTTAGGGAGAAATGTGTAAACATTATTGAGATACACTGTATAAAATGAATTAGATTGTTTTATTTCTTCAGTATCATAAAAAGATATTTCTTTTTAAGTGCAAAAACAAATTAAATAAGTGATGAATAGAATATTTTTTTCAAATATAGAGGAAAAAGTATATACATATATATACATACATATATACATATATAATAGTTTTCTTGTGTGTGCAATTCTAACGAGATATTTTAAATATTACAACTTTAATTATTAATATAACTTAACTATTAATATAAATTTAAAAAGGCATAAACTGTATTTATATATGAATGTCGTTTTCTTAGTTGATCATATTATGAATATATGCTTGAAAGATATAATTTGATGCTATATATGTGATATGTATATTTCAATTAATAGTTTCTAAAGAAATTATATGTACTATTCACAGTATGTTTTTATCAAATGCAATACATTTTCTTATTTTTTTTATATACATGAAATTAAATTTCTAAATTATATTAATTTGTTAAGTTTGTGCCAAAAACATGATACAATTGCTTCATTTTTATTAATTTAATTTTTGAAAAATATATACAAATTCCTATTTTTTAAATATTGCTTATAATTAAAACGATTATAAATTAAATCTTATCTTGATTATGGTAGAGAAAAGCATTTTATAAAGCAGATAACAACATAATTATTGAAAGTACTATTTAACTGTATATTGCAATTACTTTTTAAAGCTTAATGAAATTAAAAATCTGCATTTTATTTATTGGCAAAAATCATCAATTAAATGTTACAAATTTGTTTAAGTAAAAAAAATTAAAACTTTATAATTTTTTTTTAATTATAACATTTATATATATACAAAAGTGTGTGTATATATATATATATATATATATATATATATATATATATATATAAGAGAATTGTGCAACAGCGTATCATAAAAGAATATAATATAAACGTCCTATCTACTACATAAGTACAAACAAGTGAGACAAGATTTTTAATTTAGAAATGGTAGAAGAAGCGTATTAAGAATCGACGTCAATGACATTGTTTGTTGTATTAAAAGGTTGAAACGTACTTCGTATATATTATAAGCGAGAAAAAAAGATATTTTATTAAAGTATTAAATTGAAAAATTGTGAATATACGTGCACACAAAACGAACGTCGGTATACATAAGTTCCGTACATACATTCTGATGTTACACGCGTATATTTTTTCTCATTTTTTCGTTGATATGTATGCCACTTTATTTGGTACAAAATATGCTAAGATCCTTCTACGGAAAGTCACAATCTTCTGAAACATAAAAAAATTATAGCTATATTTATCTAATTCAACAGTTCAGTATCACAGAACGAAGATGTTAGCAATTTTTATGTATGCCAGTAATAAATTTAAGCAGTGAAATAAAGAATACACTCTAATACGCCTGTGAAAGTAAGAATAATATAAAGAAAGAGAAAAATAATCTTTATGCATATGAAACAACAGAATGTGTACGATATTGCATTAAAGTTTTTAAATTTACGTTTATTATATAATTTGCAATAATTAGCGACAATTATATATTTTATCGAGATTCACGAGATGGAGCGGTTATAAAGTGAACTCCATGTGCAATTATGTAAAATAGCACAAAATTTTACGATATAATCCGCATCTTTGTTCGAATTAGATAAAAATAGATGAATATACAAGAAAAGAAAATTACTAGAACGTGTAAAATATATATTTGAGACTGCACGTTATAATTTAAGGAAATTTACGAAACAGCAAAGTGTGAACGAAGAGAAATAATGACAATGAAGATATTTTGTAACTGTACAAATGGAAAGAAAAGAAATGACGCGCGAATTTTTCTCTGTTTCATTTATGTAACGATGTGTATCTCGTGCGACATTAAAGCAATGAAGCCATTGTATATATAGCGTCAGGAATGTCTTTTCGATAAGGCATTTTCGAGGCAGACACATTGTGTCTAGATATTCATAATAACATTATATCTAGATATTCATAATCTTGCATAATAATTATAATAATTCTAAACAGAATTGACAATATTATATAATCAAATAAGACGTAAGAAAAGTTCTGTTACAGTTTATTAATTTTATATTTTAATTTTATCTTAATGATTACACCATATATTAGATTGTTATAAAATTGCCAATTTGTCTTAGAGCTAAGAGTTATGCACGAATGTCTGGATATGATGCGATTTGAAAATGTCTAAATTGGAACAAGACTATCTTGGTGCTTTCTATACTGTTAGAGTGCTTTCATTAGATTAAAGAAGATTGCGCTGCCAAATGTAAATGTAAAGGAAGAAATGGAGAACGTCATATATCGAGCATTTTCTTGAGATTTTTTTTCTTTCTTTTGCTAAGTTCCATAAAATCAATCGATTTTGCTTGCTACATCTCATTTCTCTTTCATATCAACGTTGTTGTTCTGCTTTCAGCTCTGCACAAAGAAATATAGTGCCAATATATTTATAAAGTTACATGTATTTATATAACATATATATATGCATATATATATATATATATATATATATATATTATTATTATAATTATGAGATAAGTATTATTATATCTATATAAACAGGCTCGCATTTACTAATGTGCCTATAAAGCTATAGGTTTTGAGTTCTTTTAGAATCTTTAATCTTTGGCTTATCAATTTCTTTATTCTCAATAATCTTTTTGCTTGTTATTAGACTGTTATTAGACTGTACTTTTCTATATGTTAAATAATGTAATCATATACGTATATACTAAATATCACGTAATTTGCGAATGCAATTAGGTTATTTGTTCTCATCGTTTTCAATGTCTTGTGACTTACTTAGATATTCTCCATATTGTTATTGTGCATTTAACATTATATGTAACTGTCTAATTTAATTAAATTAATTCAATCAAGATATATAACAAATATCGCGAGAATTTTGATGATTTAGATTCTAATTTCTCTATGAATAATAAAATGATAAGTTAATTTAGTGAAAAATGTATATAAATTAGTATTTCTCAGAATCAATCTCATTTAATGTTAAATATGCAAATATAATTGTATTTTGTGTAATAATCTTTAAAGTCTGAGTCATAATAATTTCGAGAATACGTGTTCAATCATAAATCTAAAATCGCCAGATTTTTCTGATACTTTTATTTAATAGAAAGAACATGTTTGCCAAAAATGGTTTATGAAATTTCGAAACGAATTATATACTAATCATTCTACATTGTTTGCAAATGCTAGATTGTTTAGTAATCAACCCGACATATTAATTATGAAATTCTAATAATTAATTAATGTCTGATTCTGTAAGAATTTCTATATACCAGTTGAGATTGTTAGTTATGCAAAAAAGAAAAAAAAAAGCTTTTTTATATCAGAGTTATCTATTATCTCTTATATAAACGATAAGTGTATCTTGTTAGAACACTGCAACTATTATAGTTGTGAAAAACTCTTTATTCAGATGCTATTGTCCCTGAATATCAATTATCAATTATTCTAGACGTTTTTCCTTTTTTATACTTTTATTTGTAACGATAATTATGTTCCTATCTTCCATTAGGCAAGAATTATAATTACACTATTTTCTTCGATGTTGCTTAATAATCAATTTTACAATTGTAAATGTCATCCTCTAATTTTTCTTCGATCTCTAATATTATAAAGTGTTTGATATTGCTGTTGTAATTTATATGGTTTAGTATAATTCTATTGTTACACATTAAATGTGTCTCACACAATTTATTCATTATACTATCTATACATTCTCTTTGTATTATCTGTTTATTATTCCGGGCGAATTGTAAATCGCGTAGACAGACATTTAAATTTAAATTAGAAAATGGAACTTAGCAAATTCTCCATTCAAAGTATTTTTTCTTCCCGTGCTAAGGTTTAACGTGTAATACGTTGCGAATCCTGCTTTAATATGAGTATATATATATATATATATATATATATATATATATATAATATATACACATATATTTTCTATGTATCTATTTGTGTCTATGTCAGTATGTATCTATGTTTTACGGAGATAGCAGGGCATACACTCGTGTGTACTAGCACCTCGCAAATGTTGAATGAAATTTGTCTCTTTGGCTTCCTGTTTTAAAGTCGGTAAGAATCTTTGAGGAGTTGATTGCACATAGTATCGCATGTAAAATAAATTAATTTACAGAATTTACTTTCTCCATTAGATTGTACATACGATTATATTGATGATTTTTAACATTGTTGGACTAAATTTTAATTAAAAATAATTAACAAGCGTTTTCGTTTTCGCGCCGTTTACATTAGACATTAGACATTTACTTTGTAATCTGTTACGAATGAGGATATGTATGAAGGAGGATATTATAAAAATTAATTAGTGAAATTTAACAATGTGCACAACGTACGACAGAAGTACATTGCAAAGGTTCTTGCTGATTAATAAATATATCGAATATTTTAAATCTGAAAGTGAAAATATTCCTTTCATTGTATTATATAGGATAAAGGTTGCAGCGTAACGGTCGCCATGGGCTCCCACTTATAGAAACTATTAATAGTAAAATACGTCTTATCGACGTCGAAAAACGTCAGCGGTTTATCGGTATTAGAAAAGAGAGATTTATTTTAAAGAGGTATCATATATATATAATTTACCTAGTGTTATACGTAATGTAATGTAATGTTATGTAAAAAATATGCATTGCGTGCGTTTTATTTTATAGAAGTCTTTGGATTTTAGTATAAAGTATACTAATGTATAAAGTTTTATACATCTATATAGCATTTTTTTTTAACTGTATCTATGCGCTCGTATTTTATATGTTATTTGGAGTTGCAAGGGTGTTTATTAATATTACTTTTGCAATTTTTTTATTTTAAATATTTTGATTATTAAGTTTGTTTATTGTTGCAAGATAAGATGTTAAACGTTACAGGATATTAATACATTAAAATTAAAAAATCAAAATAAAAATTTAAAAAAAGAAAATATCTAGGTTTTTAAAATCTTGGATTGTATTTTTAATTTAATGAAAAATCAATAATGAACTCTGGAAAATTTAATTGCAACAAAGAGATATGAATATATTCTATATACGAAGGCTGCAATTTTAAAGAATGTTATTTTTGTTAATTAGATTAATGTTCCAGGATTATCTAAATGACATGACGTGGCGATCGTTTAACAAATTAATCCCTAGATATTGTAATGAAAGTCTTCACGTGTGGAAAATCCATGGAGCCATTCATATGTAAGTTGCCACAAAATTGGTGATACAATACAATCCGTTGTGATAAACTGTTAAACAGTTTTAAAAAAAAGCAAAATACATAAATTAATAGACGGCACATAGTCCCTGTGGTTTGCAAGTGAGAAATTTACATAACAATTGCAAACACATAATAAGGTATTCTGAGATAATAAATACTTATCGAATAGTTTATTGAGCAAGACACAAAATATTGTGTTATGTGTAAAATAATTCCAAGAATGTAATATTAAATGTAATTCAGTGTACATTACGTAATCATACGAGACGCTGTATAAATATTTCTAAATATACAAATATATTATGAAATATTTTCCCGAAATTCACATTTCTCTGCTTCTTTTCGCATGATGTCCTTTTAACTCTTGATAAAATATTTAAATTACTATTAAAATTTCTTTTTACATAATGTAAAATGATTTTCAAAGTAATAGTTGATAGTAATAAATTTTATATTACTGCTTAATTAATGAGTCTTAACATTATTGAACTAAAGGTAGTTTTTAATAAAAATATATTTATATTAAAAACTTAATTTTTAATATTTAAATTTATTTATGTGAAAAATATAAAATTATAATTAATAATTATTAATTATATGTTGACGATGCTGTTCAAATTTAATAGAAATTTCACTGCGTTTTTTTGGAATAAAATTTTCATATTTCTCGTTGCATGTAAACTGTAATCATTATTAAAATGTTTTATTATTATTATTATTATTACAGAATACATAAAGTGATTAATAAAAAGGAAATAACTTTATTATATATACTTCTGTAGATATATCCGTCATTGTTGTTTTCGCAGTATGCACGATACTCTTTTCAAGAGATAATTGAGGATAAATTTTAGGAGATGCAATTGTTATTTTATTAGTAAGCGTAAAATTCGATATGTCATTTTTTAGGCATGATTTATTTTTCACTGGCTTCTCCTTTTGATTATTACATGTTTTTTTGTTTATCGAGTCTGCGAAAGAATTGCAAAAATAATATGAATAATATAATCGTTGGAACAGTATTTATAAAATTAATAGCATATGAAAGTTATTAATTGATTGTAAAATACATTTAAAATATATTATATTATATAATTTATTACGCCAAAATTATACTATAATAATTGCGTATATTTACGCGTATATTATAATTGCGTATACTTTTGCGACCTGTATCATTCATATGTCGTTTGATTTTATTTACACTATCAGAAATTACTTCGTCATATATTGGTATTGATATCGTCGCGAGTTTGTATGGAGATTCTAAAGGACTTATCAACCTAGAATTTAAAAAAATCGTCAAATTGTTATAATAATTGCGGAATATTGATTATAATGAAACATGAAAATATTGTAAACATACTTCAGTAATTCTGTAATGTCATCTGCAATTAATTGTAATTTTTGTAAGTTTATTAAGGCAATCTCCATCTCATGTTTGATATTTTTTTCATGATTTAAGCTAAATATTTCTGCTTTAATTGTATCAATTTCATTTATAAGATCAGTCAGTTCCGAGTCCTTTACAATATCTAATAGTGAATTATTATGAAAAGATTAATGAAAAGATCTAATTTCTTAAATTTTAATTTTTAATCTTTAGTGCATTAATTATACCGTTTTTATCATTATTTTTTTGCTTTGCGCAGTGATCAGTTTTTATAACAAAGGGATAATATTTGAAGATATCAAAGAAATTATGTTCGTGAGAAAATTGCCATACTTGTTCGCAAAATGACTCTTCTACTGACCACACTTGATAATTTAATTCCTCCTAAATTAAAAATATAATATTTCATTAGACAATTCTGTTATATATTATGGCTAAATTGTTAATTATAATTATTATAGTTAAATCACTCAAAAATTCTCCATTATACATGGACATAAGATGAACCAGTAGACATTGCATAGGGAAAATTTAATAATAATTTAAAATTATTAATTCTATTTGGTTCTTATTCACTTTTTTTACTACTTTTATAATTTTATTACTAAAATTTGTCTAATATTCATTGGCGGAATCTACAAAACATTTTTCCATTAATTTCACTGATAAATGTTGCTTGATAATGCAACGTATAATATGTTTTTTTAATACTCTTGAAAAATTGTCAAATTTTAGGAAAATTCGACAAAAGATAAACTATAAACTAAAAGATAAATTTTTGCAACTTTTGCAGATTTAACTTTCATAATTAAACTTATTGTATTAGAACACATAAATTGAAAAAATTATAATACTTACTATATAAATACTTCTTATCTTTTTCAAATTGTATTTTTCTACTCTCTTAATTACAAAATTCTATAAAGAAATTTTTTTTACAAATTCCGCCAATATATAATGTATAAAATAATGTATAAAATGAATACATGTATAAAAAAATTTCTTGAGCAATTACCAGCTTTTGTTTTTCTTCTTTTAATACTTTTTCCTTTTCTAAAAAACTATTCTGATACATACTTATTGTATCTTTTATAATCTTTAATTCTACGCTTTTATGTCCATAGGCGATTAAAAGAGAATTTGAAATAGCATTTTTTGAAGTAGCGTTATTCGCAAGAGAAATATTATCCGAATTATTCATTTCTTTTTTTTCTATCAAAGTATAATAAAATTCGAAATATCAACATAAGATATTTGCACTAAATTTTAATTATTTTCTTATAATATTTTAATTCAATATTCAAATTCGGTGTTTCTAAACATCGAAAATTTGAAACATAGAACATAGATTTTCATCATTGTCAGTGTAATTTTTGTGAAATGTTATTGGATAAGATTTCTAACCAATAAGCATGCATATCGACAAATGAAAACTTCTCATAATTCTGACGCACATTGGAAATTGGAAATTATAGCTTTGTGAACACTTGCGAATGAGAGATTCCTAGCCATATAAACAAAGTTCAGAATACGAGAAACAGAAACGTGATCGCTTAATCATTCGTTTTGAAATCTCTTTGGTTATGCTGATAAACTAATCATGAGTTCAAATGGTATAAAATTGATGAAAAAAGCGTAAGTATGCGATTTATAGTGCGAAAGTAAAACATCGCGATGTAAGAGCCGCAACGTGACACATTTGCAATTCTTTTGATTTTTCTTCAAATTTGCAGGGACCCATTTCCGCAAGGAGTTCGTTGCCAGAAATGTCTGGAAATGGGACACTGGAGTTACGAGTGTAAGGGCAAAAGGAAATACCTGCACAGATCCTCTCGCACGTCACAATTGAAGAAAACTTTGCAGCAGCAACAAGATAACAATACGTATGTTATCTCAGTTCTTTTGTTGAGTTCTTTTGTTATACGTATACATGATATTTCTCTCTTGATAAATCATACTTCTTGAAATACATGGAAGAAATTATTTTTCAATTTTTAAAGAAACAAGAAGAAATATTTTGATATTAAGATTACTCAAATTAGATTATTTATATTTTTCTTCTCCCTTTTTTATAAAAAATGTATGGATAAAAGAACATGTACAATAAATTTAATATCCAAAGTTAAAAATTAAATACATTTTTGATCTTAATATTAAGGGATGAAATCTACATTTGAATAAGTTTAACAGACATTAAATATATTTAAATGTATTCTATTTTTAGTCAGGTGCAAAATAAAGAAACAAAAAAGAATCATGTCAGAAAGAAAATGAGGAAGGAAGAATCCAGCAGTTCAAGCGACTCAAGTTCTTCTAGCAGTGAAGAATCAAGTAGTAAAAGTAGTAGCAGCAGTTCTTCATCGGATAGCGAATCGGACTCTAGCGACAGTGCATCTAGTAGTAGCAGTAGTAGTACTAGTACTAGCAGTTGTAGTAGTAGTAGTAGTAGTAGCAGTTACAACTCTTATAAAAAATAGCACAGATCACATAATGAGTTGAAGAATGAATTTTTTTCTGGCTATCTTGTCATGTTTTTTTTATATAATTATTGTTCTATACAAAATCATTTGAGAATCTTATTTTATCTGTTGTAGTACATGTAAAATGAAATATTTTTTTCTCATGAACTAATTTATATATAAAACATGCTTAGACAAAGTAAAACCTTTTTTTCACGTTTATTTTTTGACTGCATAATTATCATTATTTGTAACATTTCTGTAAAATCAATTTCTATATAAGATATGTATAGTCTTGTACAATCTTATATATAGTATAGATATAGGTATGAAATATGTATACTGATATAGCTTATTATAAGACTTTTTTAGCACACAAAATATATAAATTTTCTTATATTGCATTAGCATTTACCATATTATTTTCATTAAAATTTTTATAATTGTAATTGTGAAAATCTATTGCTAATTATTATATAGAATGGATATTGAAATATAATGCATTATTTTTGCTACTATTACATGCATACTTAAATATAACAAAATTAATAATCTAATTGTTTTGTTATAAATATAATGTATTTAACGGAATATCACAATAATTATGTAACAATGTTTAATAATGACATGAAAGAAATTAATTCAACATTTTAATGCAATATAAAAATTTTATACACACATACAAGATAAAAAAAGTTATATAATTCAAATATTCATGTACACAAATGTTTTCTTTCGAATCAATCTTCAATACCTTCAGGCAGAGTCTGCACTATTACTTTTCTCCTTGATTCGTAAACGAAATTGTTTGTCTTGAATATATCACTTTCGTAAAATGGATGCAGATTGTGTATATCAATTTGTTTTGCCTATAACCCATAAAACATTAATATCAGTACAAAATGTGTTTTATTTTATATATATAGATATGAAGAAATGAATAAAAGTTATAACTGGATATTTGAATAGAAAGATTTTTATATATATATTTGTGATGTTAAAAATAATGAAGAGTATTTATACATATAAGATCATGTATAAATTGGATATGAAAAGTAAAATAAGATTAAAATCTTTTTAGTCTAAACCATTGAAATAATTTGTAGTTGATTATATTGTTAATTCTATGTAATTTTCAAATTTAATCCCTAATTTTCAAGCTTAAATCCTTTATATTACCCGTTCCAATAGATCCTTTTCTGAAATTTCGACAGTCATGATACGCCCGCCATGCAAAGCTTTTTGAAACGCCAAAGTGTCTAAAGTAATTTGCCGTAGTATGTAATATAGGAGTTCACTATGATCTTTCTTATATGATAAATATTTTTGGAATGTCTGTAATGAAATTTATATGTATATTAGAAAAAGTTTAAATCTTTTCAGATTAAATGCAGATTGAGGCTACACATAAAAAAAGATTAAAGAAATACCTGACGCATAGATTTCATAACGGAATATTTTTGTGTATCTACAAAACTATCAAGAATTATTCTGATGGCGAGATTCATATCACTTTCTTGAACATGATCTCTCAAGTGCATTTTGGCACTAGCTTCTGCCATACGAATAATACTTTCTATATGACGTACGGTAATTGGCAAGCTTCCGGTCGCCTATAACAATATATGCAACATATGGAACATTTTAATATGTAAAAATATTTATGTATATTTTTTTAATCACTTTTTGAAAATTATCCAATATATATAAATAGATTCTTGTTTTACTGACTTACCAAGCTTTCCTGTCTTAACTGACTATATAATTTAGCGACTTTGTCTTGATCAATATTGGTCAATTTCGGATGTATGTTCTGTTTTGCGTAAACGATATATTTTTTAAGAAGATCCTGTGAAATACATAAACTTTGCGTGACGGGATCCAACTCTATGCCCTGTGTTCTTTCTGTACTTGTCGGATGATGCTTAATATGCGAATTAACGACAAATTTAGCTAGATGACGATCTTGCATGGGATCGACTTCGTCTTTTACTATGCATAATACGTCGAATCGTGAGAGGATCGGTTCCGACAGATCCACCTGCATGTAATTTTATAAATCATAAGAGTTTATACGGAAAAGCAGAATATTAAAAGATATAACAAGTACAACATACATTTTCTGCAAAAGTCATACTGGGATCGTATCGACCACCGATAGGATTAGATGCCGCTATCACTGCGCATCTGGCATGTAGAGACGTAACGATTCCAGCCTTCGAGATAGAAATACTTTGCTGCTCCATAGCTTCATGAATAGATGTTCTATCCTGATCGTTCATCTAGGAAAAATGGAAATTGCAATATGCCTTTAATAATTTTAATTATTCTCATTGAACTATGATGAAAATTTTATAAATTATATGTTTATAATTTATAAAATTATATACATATATTATATATATATATATATATAAATTATACATATATATATGTATACATATATGTACATACTATATAAATAATCTACATTCATATTATATAAAAATTTTATAAATGTTTATTATTAACAATAATTAAAATATTGATATTTACATTGATATTAATATTTATGATATTAATATGTTTTTGATATTAACATATGTTTTATTATAGTCACTTTAATTATATAAATATATACTTTATCGAACTCGTCAATGAGACATATTCCATGATCGGCAAGAACCAAAGCTCCAGCTTCCAAAGTCCACTCTTTGCTGATTGGTGATCTCCTTACATAAGCGGTCAAACCAACGGCTGAGGCACCCTGACCTGTCGTGAAAACCACTCTTGGTGCCACTTTTTCCACATATTTCAAAAACTGTGACTTAGCAGTGCCAGGATCTCCGCACAACAGAACATTTATATCACCGCGTACCTTGTGCTTGTTGCCTATATATTGCAATATTCAACATATATAATGAAAGATCGTATTTTTATATTGATAAAATGAATCAATTAGAATCAAAATAAATACCAGGATTTTTTGGTTCGCCACTGAATATTGTCAGTGCCAAAGCTCTTTTAATGTTTTCGTGTCCATAAATTGAAGGCGCGATACTTGCAACAATGCGATCTGCAATTCGTTGATCTTTACTCAGAGCAAGTATACTCGAGATGTCCTCTTCTGTCAATGAATCTACAATTTCTTTCGAATCTTTGACAAATAAATGATTAGCTAATAGTACTGTGGAGAATACTGGGAAACCCTATATGTAGAAATATAATAAATTAGAATACTTCTTTCTTTTATAAAAATTTTTATAAAAAGGGATTAATTCTTTAATGTATGCTGTGGAATAATATTAAGAAAAACATAATTAATTACCTATGAGTTGAAAATTTAATTTTACCTGTTCAGTGTTTAAAGAACCATCATAATTATTGGTGTAAATAGCGGTAACGTCTATTTCATCTCCAGGTTTACAACGATCACAAAGATCGGACAGCAAAATGCAATCTTTACTGCGTGGTATTCTGCCAGCGGGTATTCTACCCGGAGATTCTTGTACCGTTATCTTTTGATAATTTCTATATATAGTTTGCTCCATATTGATCTAAAAGATGATATATTTATTAATTACACCCAAATAAGAACATTTTATATAATAAAATGGCAATGTGTAAGAATAAAATGTAGAATTTTATTTTTTGATTTACCATGAATGGTCCAACGCTCTGACACTCGGGACATGAGCCCGGTTTGACTTCAGTGTTTTGGGATTGAACAAATGGTCCGAGGACGTAACCGCATTTCGTACAATCGTATTTCACCACCGATAATTGTGGTAAGACTCCCGTAGTCGCCGTTACAACTCCAAGTGTTCGAACTAGTTGATTCAAGTGGAGTTTTCTATAATAACAAAGTAAAAGCCAAATTATGTTAATATATCATTTGCATTATCGAAATTGTGTATAGAGCTAAATAAAGTATTAACTAAATGAAATATTAAATATAAATCTTTACCTGAATGTGCGCAATTCTTCGATCAACGGCAGTTCCGATATTCTCACGTGAATTTCTGACGTGACTCTTTCATAACTGGGGAAAATTGTCAGCACCAATTCCTTTGCAACTTCATCAAATATCTCGAGCATTTGAAACGGTGCTTCTGGTAAAAAATAGGCCAAAACATGTTCCTTACTGGCAAGAATGGGAAATTCCACTATGAAACTAGACTATTGAAATAAAGAGAAACACAAGAACCTCATGAAATAAAAACACTTAAATAGATTTGATATCATGAAATAAAAGCAATTATTATAATTTTATAAAAATAAAGAAAAAGAAATTTCATATTAAAAAGATATAAAATATTGATATTTTTATCTTCACGAGTATAAAATAAATTTTTTTTATGATTCCAAAGTTTATCATGGATAAATTAAAAATAAAATTAAGAAAAATTAGGATTTTTTGTTAAAATTATATATACATTATATATACAAGATTTGATATACCTGATTACTTTCACACATATGGCGAATACGCTCTTTATACATATACTGTCCCTTGGAATTTGTATGAGTGCGAAGAAAGCTTTTAAAACGATTTGAAATTTCTGTTCGTGGTCCTAGCATCATAACCCATTCCTTTATTGAGTGTCCTTTAGTATCCTCTAAATTCTCTATGGATTCAATCATCTGGAATAATGAAGAAAACATTAAATAATTGTGCACATAATATTTATACATAATGTGAAAAGATTATTACTTCTGCATCTTCTATTATGCCAGCAGCAGCTTTTTCAGCCATGCGTCGCTTGCGTGCTTGCACATCTTCTTCATCACTTTCATCTAGAAATATAAAAGATGATCTTTGAATGCTTTTGAGAAATATTATATATTCAATAATTTTATAAATCCATTTCTCTGACTTTTATAAATTATATTAGAGTTGATTATAAGTTCTTTTTATAATTTATAATTGATGTTTTATCCTTTGCTTTAAATAGAAAATGATTAAAAGTTACCATAAAGCAGATCACGATCATCTCTTATAATACCAGCTGCACGGTCTCTTTTTCGCATTTCTGTTTCTGCAGCTATACGTTCACCCTGAGACATTTCTGAGTATTCTGAATCATCAAGTAGATTGGGATCATATCTATCCAATGCTGACATAGGACGATAATCCCTATTATAAAAAAAGATAATTTTATTGCGTTAATTTTATTCTAATTGTTTTTTATATAACATATATTCATATAACATATATAACATATATTCTTATATAACATATATGTAATATTTTAATTAACTCTTTAAAAAAACAAGTATAAGTTTATATATATATTATTAGTTATTATTTTTCCATGTATATTAACATATATTACATCAAAACTAATATTATAAAGATATTAAATCCTTACGCCTCCATATTATCTCCAAATAATTCTTCTCCTTCCTCTTCTTCCTCATTATTAGCACCATTATCCTCACCAAGTAACTCGGATTCATTTTCAAATGGCTCTTCTATATTAGGTGCAGGAGAGGTCATTGCATCAGTATGTCGTTCAGAGCGTAAAGGAGAGCTTTGTTCACTCTAATAAATGCACAATGAAATTAAATATTATCTCATTTTTCTTAATTATTCTTAATTAAGGGAAAATATACAATATATTATATTATTATTAAATGCATATTATAATGTAAATATAAATAATATATTACAATTATATAAATAATTGTAATAAGACAACAATACTATATAAATAATTTTTTATAAATTACATATATAATATTTTAAACATTCTAAAGTTATCAGAAATCTGCTTTATTTGCATCTATAATTATATTATATTATTTTATACATTTTTATACTTTACCATGTTGTTATTTATGATAGGCTTTTGCCACGAGAAAAAGTATTTTTTATATTACTGCGGGAAGTTTATCACCGTTTTTTTATTTTTGCAGCTACTGCAACAAAATTGAAAAATAGAATTAAATCGTCACATCCACATGCAGCACAAGCCACAAGCCGTCAACACAAGGCGGCCAAAAAATATTACACTTGGCGGGAAAATCTTTGTAAAGATAAAGGCTATAGTTTTGTCGCAGATTCTCAATAGCAAAGAAAGATATGCGTGTTGAATGAAATTTTCAACCAATAGAACATGAAAGTCCAGAATAGAACGTGAAAGTGACGAATCAGGTTTCATTTAGCTAAATTTACATATTAAAAAAATCAAATAAAATAGATAATTAAAAAAAACGTATTATACATTATAATATATTAAAAAAATATTCATAACTTTTTTTTATTTACCTACCTACCTTTTATGACGCAGAATCTTTTTACATAAGAAAATTTAAAATTTAAGGATTCAAACTTTAATTTCAAATATGAACAAAGTATCAAACGGTATAAAAATAAATGAGATACAAATTTCAAGTATTATATAATATTATAAAAATTTTAATTTTAATTAAATTTTAATTATTACTTTTTTTCTCAATTTTTCTATTCTTAACAATAAGACTGATAAATTAATATCGTTGCTATTCAGTCTTAAATAATCTTTAGAAATAATTATAACTTACAAACGGGAAAAATCCAGTTTTTAAAAAGAAATGGACTTTGGCTTATATATATATAATTAAATCTTTAAAGTCTAGATTCTTATATATTTTGATTTTATCTGAAACACATCAATATACAAAAAATTTTTGTTAAAACATAATTTATTATAAAATATAAAACTTACAATATCTAAATAAAATATTGCTATACATAACGAGTTTTATATAAAGTTATAAATAAAAATTAAAATATTTCAAGAGACTTTCAAAGAGTATTTCTCTTCTAAAAACTTTGTATGTGTAGAAAATTGGCTTGTTGACCTAAAAATATAATTTAAATACTGCAGACTTGCAATTGGGGAATAGCATATTTTATAATATATTGTAAAAACTACTTATGTACAGCATTTCATCTCTCTTTCACACTTATTTTAATTTATTATTTAATTTAAATAAGATTTATAAAAATCTTATTTAATAAGTTTAAATCTAATATAAAAGAGTGTGATATATTACAATGTGTAAAAATGATGAAATTTGTTTTCTATAAACCTGTTACATATAAATATATAATTAACAAAAACATAAAATTTCATAGCAACTAGAAATACAGATTCCTAAAGTTGTAATAAATTATATATTTCTACCTATAGTTGTTGCCTTTTGTAAACTATGTTAGGATCCCAATTAATTTTTTTTTCAACTATATCAAGATTTAAACTTATATTGACAATATATATCATATAAATATATCTATCATATTCATCTATTTCAATTTTTAAAGAGAAATTATGTAAGACTAGAAAAAGACATATGGATCAGATTATAGGAAAATGGAATGAGACAAAATATAAATTTGCAATAATAAAACTATACTCAATACAAAGCATAATTGAGATCTGACATGTTACTACCATTTCTATTTGCATTATTAGACAAATGCAATTTTGACACTCCTTCCAACATGTAATCATCATCTGTAACAATCCACATGACAAATATGTAAGTTGTATGAATTTGCAAATTGAGATTATATTATATGTACATACAAAACATTATATGTACATACAAAACATTATATATGTATATATTATATAATTATATTAATAAAAATTTTGATTTTCTTATATTTTTTTCTATTATCTTATTTTTACCTGATTCATTATCGCTCAATTGACGAGGCGAAAATTTGCATCCCCGTGCTAAATAATACTTCAATTTGCCTACACTGGCTAAAATTAAACCAAGGAATGGTGGTGAAGGTTTTAAAGGTCTGGATAGGTACTCAGGATGAAACTGTGTAGCTACATAATAACTATGTCCTTCCAATTCGGCAATTTCCATTCGTATATTTTCATCTTCATCACGACCTAAAAAAAATGTCGAATTGTATAGTACATATCTTAATTACATATAATTAAAATTACATATTATATTAAACAAAACTGTATATTAAACAAAACTTATTGTATATGAAAATGCAATATAACTCACCTACAAATTTTAAACCAGCTGCTTCTAAAGCTTGAATGTATTCCGGATTTATTTCATATCTATGCCTATGTCTTTCTTCTATGACATCTTTATTATCATACAATTTTTCTGTAGAGAAAAATAATAATATATAAAATATACATATTAAAAAATATATACTGTGACACAGAAAAAAAAAATTGATCTCATATTAAAACATGAATTCTATTACTGACTTAGGACAGAATTAATGTCGTAGAAACGCGTTTGTCTCTTGCCTAGCCTCATAGTTCCCCCCTTCACTTCCGGATTGTGTTCTGGCATGTCTATCACTACAGGTTTACTAGTCTCTGGATCAATTTCTGTAGAATTTGCTGTTTGAAGATTCAATACGTTTCGCGCGAATTCAATGACCGCCGCTTGCAAACCCAAACAGATGCCGAGAAACGGCTTGTCGTTCATTCTACACCATCGACAGGCTTCAATCTTTCCTTCCAATCCTCTTTTACCAAAGCCACCTGCTACAATAACACCACTACACACAACAAATGTATTTTTATTAAAAATTATGGATATTAGAAGTACAGAACATAAAAATGTATTGTAACACTTACTTGCTTTTACAAAGCTGTTGCCAAGCCTCATGATATAAAACTGGATTTTCCATTAATGTACTTTGCTCTAAATTAGCAGCTTCAATAAACTGTAACAATTACATAATCATTTAGAGAAAATAATATTTAATAACATTATATAACATATATATATATATATATATATATATATATATATATATATGTTATATAATGTTATTAAATATTATTTTCTCTAAATGATTATGTAATTGTTACAGTTATATATATATATATATATATATATATATATATATAATTATATTTCTATTATATATATTTCAAATAATTACAATACACAGTATTGCGAGATAATACCGTCAAGTTCAATTTATAACCGGCCTCAATGGCAGCATGTTGCAACGCTTTTGTAATAGAAGCGTAAGAATCCTCGAGTTTCGTATATTTTCCTACTAGAGCGATATTAACATCCTTCCGCAAATGATCAACGCGATCTGCTAAATCTCGCCATTTTCGCATGAAGGAACGCGGACGCGGCATTCCGATATTCAGTTGCAATCGATCATTGAGAAACTCTATAACACCCTGATATTCCATAAGAAGTGGTACTCGATATATGGACGTTAAATCGTGAATAGTGATGACCTGATAAAAACATTTGATATCATTTAATTAATTTGATTTCAATTAATTAGTTTCAAACAAATAATTTTAATTAATCAATTAACTTTTTTTATAATAATATTAAGATGAACTTTTGACAATTACTTGCTCTGGAGCCACATGACAAAAATTTGAAATTTTTTCTTTGGCAGAATCGCCGATAGGCATTTCCGATCTACAAACTATTAAGTCGGGTGATAAACCTAATCCACGTAATTCCCTCACACTAGATTGTGTTGGTTTTGTCTTGGGTTCGCCTGTTGATTTTGGCTAAAAAGTATTTTATATTTCAATGATAATTCAGAGAAAATTGTTTTCAAAAACGGAGTTTATGGAGTTTCACAAAAATTAATCATGCATTTATTATATGCATATAAAATATAGAAAAAAAAATATAGAAAAAATATGTAAACGGGAAATATGTAACCTGTATGTAAAGATTGTAGGCATGTAACGCAGTTACCTGCGGCACTAAAGACACATGAGCAACACAGAAGTTTTCTTTCTTCACTCTAAATTGAAACTGCCTAAATGCTTCTACAAATGGCATCCCCTCTATATCGCCTATTGTGCCACCCAATTCTACTATGCAAACCTGCAAAGAATTATTAATAAATTATGTATTAGAATATATATTTTATCATAAAGTTTATATATATATATATATATATATATATATATATATAGGTATACATATACATACACATACATATATATCCATGTATATGTGTATAAAATTTATATATTAATAAATTTATACACATACATGTTTTTTCTAATATACATCAAGAATATTATGTAATCTAATATTTTTGCATTTTATAGAATTATGAAACATAATAATTCATATATTAACAACACCTCTGGTTTAGCTCCATCTTCTGTTACAGATTGATTTGCAACTCTTTCCACCCACTCCTGAATAGCATCAGTAATATGAGGTACAACTAAAAAAACCGCTTTTATTAATATATCATGTTCTCTTTCTCTCTCTCTCTTTTTCTCATATACATATATTGTGTGTGTGTGTGTGTGTGTGTAATATTATATAAGTAGAAGTACTTATTTTTGGTAGAAGTATCTATGGTAGAAGTATTTTTCAATACCTTGTACTGTTTTTCCTAGATAATCTCCATTTCTCTCTTTTGTAATAACATGTTGATAAATTTTTCCTGTCGTTATATTATTGTCCTTATGAAGGGTGATATCCAGAAAACGCTCGTAATTGCCCAAATCAAGATCCACTTCACCACCATCATCGAGTACATAAACTTCTCCTGTTGTATAGAACAAACAAAAGACTTTGTAGTAACATAAGTAGAGTAACAATAGCAAAATGATAGCGGATGTGTTCGTAGAAAATCAGTAACACAAGAGTCTCTTCGAGGAATGCTTTTATCGCTTACTTGGTTGAACAATGGAATGTGTTGATGATAAGCATCAAGTTTCATTGGATGTTAGAAACCTAATGGATGAATGAAATTATACAAACATATTTATACCATATTTATATAATAATGATATTATATTTTAATAATTTAATTGATCAACAATGTTGATTGCTTCACACACAGATATATTTAAATATATTAAACTTTATCTGAATGATAGCTGAAATTATATGAATAATAATTTAGCTTCATTTGATCTTACATTAATTAATTTAATAATATATAATTTCACAGAAAATTAAGGATTTATCATATTATTTTAATTTTATTAATAAAAAATATAATTATATAATTATATAATTATATTTTAATTTATAAATATCATTTTTCCTTTCAAAATAAATCTTATACATCAATTTTAATGTTATTTTTTTAAATTGCGTTTTTTCTTTCTAACTCTATCTTTCTTAATTATAATTTTTGAATACAGGAAATGCATGTATAGAACCGGAAGACTGATTAAAAATATTCAGACGGATTCGTGTAGAATACTTGCATAGAGAAATTAATGATCTATTATTGCGTTATATATATGTGCGCGATTGATTTTATCTGTATACGACTATAAAAATTAATCTGCCTTTATTTGACCTTAATTAATTGCTAAATAGCGTGGTGGCAGCATACAAAATGGCGCAAGCACATGGCTGGAAATTTTACCGCCATAAAAGCTTGATCCGCTGCGGCATTTAAGTTAGCGATTTTTGTTTAATTTTATCACACAACTACGATTTTATTCAGATGACACATTGTTTAATTCATTTTCTTCTCTATCGTTAATCAAATAAATCAAGACAGAAACAGATGCCGACAAGATAATTTGAATTAAACTTCGTAATACACACATATATACATCTTTAATATATTTTAATTATATTTAATTGAAAAAAAAAATTAGTAAAAATTTTCATAACGTTAAGAAGTGGGAAATCTCTCTCAGGAGCTAGAATCGTACTATGATATTATGCGACAACGTGCTGCGATAAAGCCTATTTTTCCGTATCGATGGTACAGGAAATTGAATTCAATTTCAAAGTCATATCGATCGATTTCAAATATGCTAACGAGAGAAACGCCGTCTTTCAGACATGTCATATGGAATAGGGTGCAGTGACGTGCGAAAATTAACGTCGTGCTCACCGTGCTCGTAGGGCGAGAAGGTCCCGGCGTCGATGTTAATGTAGGGATCGATCTTTATGGACGTCACGCGAATGTTACAATGCTTGAGGATAGTGCCGAACGAGCTGGCGATGACACCCTTGCCCACGCCGCTGATCACACCACCGGTCACCAGAATGTACTTCATGATTTGGCTAACCGATTCCCGGTGATTTGAGCTGGATACCTCGCTGCGGGCTCGCAAATGTCAATTGCAACGAATTCGAGCACAAATCGAACGAAATCGAAAAGAGCCAACACTATGTGTACGTACCTTCGGCACGTAAAGCACAGTGCTGCGAGCTCGCGCGCTGCGGGATTTTTATAGACAGGCCGGGTCCCAGGGCAAGCTTCGGAGATAACGGTACCCTGGGCCCTGGACTTCCAATATTTTTTCCGCTCTCAATTGTGTGTTTGTTGCACAATTAATTAGATATACATTACTCGGTAGATAAATTCTGTTGGCGAACTGGTGGCAAATTCGAATAGAAATTGTAGCTGTCAAACATAAATCTGTCTCCTGTCAGGGCATTTACACCTTGGGTACTTTCCGATTCACACATGATGCGCATGAAATGACAGAAAACATATAGTTCATGTCACGCATATTATACATTTCTGTCACTTCACGCGCATCATGCATGAATCGGAAAGTACCCCTTGACAGTAAAGCAGAAATGCAGAAGCCAATCAGAGCTCGCGCTGGTAACAAGCAGTGTGTAAGCAATACATTAGATAAGCAAAAAGAAATTATGACTACTAGCGTGAGTTCTGATTGGCTTCTGCTTTGCCAGCGCGATGATTGGCTGTTCTTGTTTGACACCGTCCACTCCACTCTAATTCAAATATGAACCATGGCGTAGCCAAACATAGTTTGTGTGCGTGATGTACGCATGTACTGTGTATTTAACTGTACACTGCTGTACGCAGCATTGTGAGAATCCAAGTGAATCGTGCGTGAACGCGCTCGTGACATCTCAAAATGTCAAATTCGGCGGAGATACACGGCAAGTATTAGTTATCCCGCGATAAAGGATACGCCCACTCGCGCATACTTCGCAGTTGCATTCGCCCACTCGTATCGTGAATGTAAATATTTACAGAGTGAAAGTACACATAGCGGATCAAGTATACGTATTGTGCTCAAATCAGAACGAGGAAAAAAGGAAGGAAGAGGAAAAAATCTCGTATCGGTTTGGCCACCTTCCTTCTCTCCCACCTCCTGACGTACTCGAATACTCGCGATAGCCGCAATAAAACTGTACTTTATCGTGCTTCCTGCATATTTATGGTGACAGGAAACAGGGCTTAATTCTCTCTACGTGGAGGTTTAACTACCGTAAACTGTCAATTGCGAAGTAGGCGTAAATAGGCACGCTATAGTGCGATGAAACAATGTAAGATATACATTCATTCGACGAATCGATGTTTATTTCGAGTGTACAAATCCGATGGAAATATTAATATAATTGGCTAACGGGATTTCATCTTGTGTTGTTTCCTAAAATGTTTTGTTTTTTGGCATTGTTATATATATGTGGAGTAATATATCTTGTGTGGTATGTGTATCCGTCTGTCTGAAATATTATTATATAGAATTTTTATTTTATGCTAGCTTATAACACTAATTGCAATTTTTTTCATTAAAATTAATATTTAATAATGAAATAAATATGTTATGAGAATTTAAAACAGATGTAATTATATTACACAATTATATAGTATATGTTATCCTATACAATTGACACTATGTTCATTTTATATCTTTAATTTATTAATATGTTTATGTTAATTATAATATTAATATATTTAAATTAACAAACTATTATAGAGGAGTAGAAAGATGCTATGGCTGCCACGGCTACATCACGTAATGATGAGGAGGAGTTAAACGGGGAGTTAAACGGGGAAACTGAATCAGAGGCCAGTAGTATATACCAATGTGGTTCGGTGATCTCCACTGTACCTGATCGTCATGGATTCCTAGGTGGTTCGCAATATAGCCCTGAAAGGTAATTAATTAATGATGCAATTAATTCTGTTAATGTGATAAGAAGACTATTTCAATAAAATAATTGTCGATTGTGCAGGAAGCAATCTATACCACCTGATGTGATACTACGAAGAGAAAGAAAATGGATACGGATGCTAAATAATTGGAGTCTTTTCATGACAACGAATTATCGCAAGGTCCGTGAGAGATGTCGCAAAGGTATACCACCTTCTGTGAGACTCCGCGCCTGGTTGAATCTCTGCGGTGGTCAACTTCTAATGAACGAGAATCCGAACTTGTACGAAGAATTGATCAAACGACCTGGTGATCCCAAATACATAGAGGATATCAAAAAAGATCTTCATCGTCAATTTCCGCATCACGAGATGTTCGTCGACAACGCACCTGGGCAGCAAGAATTATTCCAAGTTCTCAAGGCATACTCCATTCTAAACAGTAAAGTGGGTTACTGCCAAGCTCAAGCGCCTATTGCTGCGTTCTTGTTGATGCACATGCCGGCGGTGCAAGCATTTTGGTGCCTTGTTGCGATATGCGACAAGTATCTCATCGGATATTACAGTCAAGGCATGGAAACATTGCTGCGTGATGGAGATATTCTGTTTGCTCTTCTCAAAAGAGTCTCTCCTATTGCATATAAACACTTAGTTAGTACACAGTTATTGTAAAATTTCTTAATTTAAACAATTATATGTATGTGTGAATATTCATTTAAAAAAAGTATTTATATTTTGAAAATATCTCAAAAGTGAATTTTAACTATATATGTTATTTTAAAAAAAACTACTGCAGCTATTAAAACAATTTTGAGTTTCTTGAAAATGTGTATATACAATATTAAAAGAATGCCAGAATAATGTTATCTGAATAATGCCATCTGAAATAACTGAATTTTTCTTATAGACTAATTATATATAACTACACATCTATATTATATATACATAGTTAATTAATTCAATATTATCATTTCAGAAAAAACAAAAAATGGAGCCAATTCTATATATGACGGAATGGTTTTTATGCGTTTACACGCGAACGCTGCCATGGGAAAGTATTTTGCGCATATGGGACATGTTTCTTTGCGAAGGTGTGAAAATAATTTTTAAAGTTGGCCTGGTATTGTTAAAAGGTAGTCTGGGTCGTGCGTCCCTCGTTAAGCGTTGTCCAACGACATACGAAACTCTTCAAGTTTTAAGAAATCCGCCGCATCATATCATGGAAGAGGAAGCTTTGCTCTATCAAGTAAATATTAATTTTTTTTGTTATATATTTATTAAAATTAGTAAAAATTTAAATGTCTATATGATTGCGGAAATTTCTATAGGAAATACTGGGATCATATTTGTATGTGTGTATGACAGAAAGGATTATACAGAAAATTTTGTTACATATTTATTATTAATGTTACAGATTCAAAAGTTGAACTTGAGCGAGGAAGACTTTGAATATGAGCATCAAAGACAAATATTGAAAAGAAAGGCAGCAGAGAAAGAAACTGCCAATCGAACTGACTGACAATTAAGTAGTTAGATAAATATGGAGCGAATATATATTTAATATATATATATATATATATATATATATATATATATATATATATATATATAATGCTCCAATATGTGCCTTCCCTTCCATCTGATATTGTATAGATTCTGCAATTTGTATCTCTTCCATGAAGCGGAGAGATTAGCAAAAACTGATAGATACGTATATTTGCAAAATAGAAAGTAATTTTCATATACTTCGTCCATGCATACATACATCCACATTCCCCGAGCCAGAGAGTGCACCTATTTATCTCTATTTCTTTTATTATTACTACAAAAGAGAGCACAACATTAGATTCGCATAATACTATTTAATGATATTTTCATTATTGACTTATGTTCAGTTATTATATATATAATGATTTTCGACAGTTAATATACTATATCGATATTTATATATGTACAAAAATTTATTTCATTTTTGAAATAAAATATAGTATATGATAATGTTATACTAAATAAATATTATCTTTTGTTAATGTCAATCTTATATTAATCCTTATCAATTAAATATAATATTAATTAATTTTAGATTTTTCCCTTTGTAGGTCTTATTACAGATACATTTAAATTCCTGTTAAAACGTGATAATACGTGAACCGTAGTTTTTGTCTTTCTAATACGTTTAAATATGCTATTTCATATTAATATGTATATTAAATATTCCTTTTTTATATATGTAACTTTTTCTACGATCGGTTCATATTCACGCAAACTTTAATATTATATTTTCAACATCTTTGATGTAAAAATGCGATAATTTTTATTTTACGATATCGCACTTATTTTCAGCTAGCTGTGCTGAAATTCCTCCAACGATTCCGTCCGTCTATGGCATTCATCACGAAAGTCGCTAGACGCAAAAAATCATCATTGTCCGCTACTCGCGCATTAAAAAGCTCGAAGTGCGGCAATTTCGGTAGAAATAACACACCCATCATGAATAGAAGAGCCATGCTGATAAACGTGCCTATCGCTACAAAGAGCGGATTCATAAGTTGCTTCTGAGTGTTCCCCGCAGTTTCCGTGGCCGTGTATATTGGAACGATCTGAAAAGAAAAACGCGAGCCATGTATTCATTCTGATTTTTATACGAAAAAATTGGTATATAATTTTAAAATATAGAATAATCGTGAATATAATTTTCTTAATAAACGTTGAAGATTTATACGTATATTTATACTTGACTATATTTGAAATTCGAATAAGTATACAATATATATAAGAATAAAATTCCAAAATTTGTCTATATATTTTTTTATAATATAAAATTTTTTAGCTTTCTCATAATTTATAACTACTTTAAACACTACTGCATATTGACATTTCATGTGCATGAAAAATGACTCCAGCAATTTCTTGTGCTGGGAATTCTCAGTGTGTTACATAATTTCATCAACATAAAATAAAAACATTGTATGCTCGCATAAACGTCTGGTTGTATACCGGGTGATCGCAAGAATCGCGACTCGCTTAACGGCGCAACAGGTTTGGGACTCCCTTACCGCAGCCTGCTGCTGATTATGATCTCCCTGCAACTCGGACGCGAAGCTCTTAAGCGGAAAGAAGTAATAGTTGTACAACGGGTATTTAGCCGGTAGCTGCAGGTGACCGACCTGCGGCGTCGTGTTGCCGTTGCCCGCGGCATTCAGTGCCTGCGTCAAAGCTGCAACGCTGATCGCTGACCCTTTTTCCAAGGCCTGTTTGTACAAGGCGGCCAGTTTCGCTCGTGTGAGTACCAACGGCTCCGCTTGTTTTACCTTTGGGTAACTAGCCGCAGTGGTGGGTTCCACTGGATGCACCTGAAAAATTTGCGAATATCAGTGCTTTGGCAAATTAAGAAGGGAGACTGAGCTTGTTCGGCAAATGCATTATTCGCGATCGGCTTTTCCTGAGGCCTGATGTTTTGATGAACATTGTTAGTGCTCAACTTGCGATGTATATTGTCTTGGCTGTAATCGTCTTGATAGCCGGTATATTGATAGTGATTCGTCGACAATCGATCATGCATTGTAATGCTATTAGACGGCACATTTAATTCTTGAAGCTCAATCATTGCCTTTTGAAGATACTCTCCACTTGTTTCGGCGCCACACAGTCGAGTGTTGATAATGATCAATGATATTAACGCGGCGAACCGCCAAGATGACTTTGCTCTCCGCGATGAATTCATATTGAATCGTTCTTATGGGCTTTTAGCACCTATCAAGCAAAAGAATTTAACAGTTTCTTAATTAATGTCCTTTCCTAATCATTTCTCAATGAAATATTCATATGTATATAATATTATCAAGAATATTTCTGTTAATGAAATTTTTATATTATTTCAGAGTTTTTTTGATCTTTTTAAAATATCGAACATTAAATGTTATAGCATGAATACTTGGAACATTGTTATGAATAATTAAATACTCGAACATTTTGATTATTAATATTATTATTGATATTTATTATTGATTATTATTGATATCAATGTTTGTGTTTTCTATTATAATGAGAAGATTTACATACAAAAAAGAATCTTACATATTTAAAATTTAATTTAGAAAATCTTCTAATGTTGATAATACAGTCGAGACACATTTTCATGTCCGAATATCACTTTGTGTTTTATAACATTACATCACATAAGTGTTTTACAGAAATGTTATCTTGTTCTTCATTACTTTTGTAGCACATATATCTTCGATTATACGCAATTTTCTACAAACGAAAGACTCACTCAGATATAGCATCAAATCCACTTGAATGTTATAATATATTAGAATAATAGATAATGTAAATTATTTTGTAATTGACATCATTTGTTTCAATTGAGATAATTTCCGAAGCATGTATGCAAAGAATTAAATTCTGCCTTGATAAGAGGAACAGCACATGATATATTACTAGAATTAATTTACAATTTACATTACGATAAGAAATCGCGACACACGTGGTCTCGTATGCGTGTTTATAACTGCCTGCGATAATCAAAAGGTCAAATAAATCAACCTATGTTGCAAACACAGGTTGAAACACATGCGATATTTGGGCTTCTTTCGCGGTAGATATGTGATCGCATCAGATCGAAAACACGAAAAACTTGTATATTCGATTGAAGTGAATCGTCGAGCCCGTTCGCGAAGATTCTACAACCGTGAATGAACTGAATTAACTTCCTTCACCGATATGTATTTTCCCCCCATATATGCATTCGACGAACCGTGAAAAAGCGGAGCGTGAAAATGGATACTCGACAAATACGAATCATAACAATTTGATCTTACAAATCTATTAGATATCCTCCATGAATGATTTTCTGTTAATTAAAAGAAACTTTTTATGATCATTTTTTAACTTGATTAAAAAAAAAAAAATTTTGAAATTTTTTATTTTTGAAAGTTATAAGAGAACCTTAATCTTTTTTGAATTCAGGAATTTATTAAATTATTATATAATATTTATAAAAAGATTGCATTATATTTTATTTATATATTTTAATTATTTTTCGTATTAGATTTACACACACAATAAATTTTTGTGTTTCACATAAAAAATTATTAATTATGCAATATTTCTCTATTAATTTTTTTGATTCATTGTTTTCTTTTTTAATTGAAATGAGGGATTTTTGCAAAATGTTTCAATGTTATTCTTCGTTCAAAATTACTCACTTGCATATATATATTTATAATATTCTGGCTTTGTCAGACCAGTATTTTATTCGATTTGATGTATACGGGAATAATATAACGGATGTACCCAAAACTCTCGGGACCTAAATCGTATGATCCGTGACGGTTCGCATGTCATCGCTTGACGTAGAATATGTAACTGTAAGTGAATTTTTGATAACATCTATATTATTTATCAGCGTTTGATCATTGGAGACAGTTATAATCTTTACATGCTCCTCATTTTCTTCGCAAGTAGAGTCTCGTCTATTCATCGTAAGAATTTCGTAAAGAATCTCTCATAAAAAGTCGTTCTTCAACAATTATTACAGAGTAAATTAATTTTATAGAGTTTGGAAGAAAATTATCTACGAGAAGTTTGATTTTCAAGCTTGATTTGTAAAAAATAAGAAATAAATATTTTTATTCTTATTAATATTTTTATTCTTAGAGAGAATAAAATCGATAAAATGGTTTAATTAAATTTCTTCATCAAAGCATATTGTTATTATATATTTCCTCAAAATTTAATTAAGATTGTTTACTTATTTATTATAGATATTTAGATTATTATGACTTATAAACTTATTTAGACATTAAGGTCCATATTCTGAATTTTTTTTTATCGATAAAAGGGCTTTTAAAAGTGGCCTGTAGCCAATCGGAAGGCTTATATGCCACTTTTATTGATAAAAGAGGATTCAGAATATGGACCTTAGACTATATATATCTCAATTAAGACTTACTAGTTAATGTTATATATTACAAAACTCTATTTAATGTTATATATTAATAGAATATATATATATATATATATATATATATATATATATATAAATTATTTTAATGTTGAGAAATAAACTAAATTTCAATATTATAATTTTCAATATAAATTAAAGGATTTGATACTATTATTACGATACGTAATAATTTATAAAAGTTTTAGTCATCTGGGATATCAAAATAATTTATATTTTTTCTATATTTAAATACCAAAATAATTTATATTTCCAATTTGCTGTAATAAAAATTACTTGTAGATTCGAAATATTTAATTAATTCCACAGTGGAAAATGCGATGAATGTGGTTAATTAAGATCAAAGAGAAGGTAAAAGAGTTTAAATTCCCGAAGCATCTCGTTCCAACGCGAGCAAGCGGGATGAATTTGCTTTCGGAATTTCGAATGTATGTCAGCAACCCGATTTGCCTCGCGAATCTTCATCGACCGTGTTAAGTTGAATTATTTTTACTCTTTTAGCTATTATCAAATCACAGAAATATTCGTAGCTATAAGAGCGAATGACTTTATTTATCATGGAAAAGGAAAAATTCGCATCGGGAAACGCTAAGACAATAACGAAACATCACATGCGGAATCGCGGTTCGTTGATCGACCGATACCGAGTGGTTAAATGACATACACTGTTGATTATCTGTGATTATTATTGTTGTAAAGAATCTTCCGTCTCCATGGACTAGAAATCATGATACACTCAACGAACACGATATAGATCCGCTTCCTTTATGTATTTCCTTAATTAATTATGTCGGTACCACTGTAAAAAATAGATAACTTTGACAGAACAAAAATTAAAGAAAATTTTTATTCTTGAAATCAATTATACTTATCTTCGAAATTAGGAATTTATTTCAGTCTTGATTTGTATCTCTTTAATGCGAGATAAATCTTGATTTTTCGGTGCTTAGATATTATTTTTAAAAAATTTATATATATACATGCACAATATTTCTCTAAAATATTTTAGATAATTTAATGTGATATGATAACATTACTGGTACAAATAACTCAGTCCGTTATTTTAGTGAGTGATTAAAAATATATGCATTAGAATATTTATAAGTTTCTTACATAATTTTTCAAATAAAATTCCTGGAACTATCGTGTGGATAACTACGACCCACCTAAATAAAGAGTACTTGCACATATAGTATTTTATCGCAGTCAGTGAACCGTTGCTTAATTATTGCTAACGATACATACGACCGTTATAGGATCATTTGTCTCTACTCGAATAGAATATTATATTTTGTAAGTATGGTACATTTTTCATTAAAAAAATTATAATTATGTATTTTATAAATGAAAAGCTCCCATTTAAAAAAATTGTATTAAACGTTAAAAATAAAAAAAGACATTCTTTAATTTTTTATTAGTTTATACATATATTTTTTTTAAATATGTATGAAATTGCTCTTTGCAAATATAAAATATGATAAAAGTTACAAGTACTTACAATTAATATAAATTTTAAATTTATCTTCTTTGATTCTGTGAATTACTTTTAGATAATTAAAAATTAATTTTATTAATATTTTAAATAAAATGCTCCTTTTTAAGAAATTTAAGATGACATCTTAGACTTCTTTAGATATTGACAAGGAGAAATGTGATTGGGAAAGAAACGAGAGATAGCATACGGTTCATTATTGTGTCATGTATTTCCTTTCACATCGAGTGCACTGTTACCGATATCGCTTTACAACTTTTCATACAAAAGGATGATTCGATGATGAGCACCGTCGCAGGTTCGACACACTCTCACGAGTCTTACTCTTTGAGAGAGCGAATCTCGACAACGAAAATCATGCAATTGTGCGTCTCCGGGCGCTGGTTCTTTCGATCTTAATCTCAAACATGCGTTAATTACTCGATCGCCCGCTTCAGTACACTTATAATATCTCACAGATATATATAGATCTTTCAACGTGATCCACCTTGCTTTTCCTCCTTTGTGTGTGAATATCATACAAAATCTAAGACTATATATGCAAATGTCTCTTATAATTATATCTCGTTATTATGTACGAACTGTAATTGTTAATGTATAATACGCGGCGGTATTTCTTGTGTGCTTTCTTAATCGTTAAGTTAATTTACAAAATTCGGACCTATCAATATATAGTCGACGAACATGGAGACGACGGTGATTTACATCCTTTATAAAAATGCACTCAAATAAATTTCGCATTTTATATTTTTATATTTATATAAAAAAAGATAGAGGAAAAGTAATTATAATCACGCTCTTTAACTTTTAATTATAATCTTCTCTTTAACATCGGTGCAACTTAAATCTATAATTAGGATATGAATTGTATTGCAACTTGAACACCTTTGCTCTCAGGACGAAATTAACGTCGACATGACGTCTTTCGACATCGTTCTTAGTACATTGAATAATTTTCTTCTTTTTGCATTTAACCGCCGTCTCCTTTGATCATTACGGATCTCTTAAACATATAACACACGTCACGCACACGTCCTCACAGGGCATGCTTCTTTGTCATTCGCGCAACACGTTCCAGCCGATTACGTGATGACGCATATGCATTTCTAATGTACTCCTTGAGTTATCACTTATAAGAGAATATCTCGAACTTTGAGAAAAACAAGTGAAACATGAATTATTTATATAAAAAAACTGAGTTTCTTATTTATAATTTGCTTTAAGAAATTAAAAACAAATGAATTTAAGTTATTTTTAAAAAATAACTTAGATTGCGATAACTATTGTTACAATTAA